TTTATCTACGAGTTAAAAGGTTAAGTTTACGAGTGATGAAGTCACGATAAATATTACTTTATTTCACTAGACGATAAAAGACTGCTTTATCTACTGAAATTGATTGATAAAATCACTCTTTAACATTGACTACAAAATAAAACATATTGTACAATTTTTACCTTTCATAAAAAAAACGGTGTAGTAGAACTGTGTAAAAATTTGGTGAAAATTGATATGGCATCCTCTTTTCGCCTTCACAATGTTAGAACGATCACAAACAAATGGGATTTCCACGTTACGTGTATTTTCGATTAATTTTATCTCTTCGCAGTGTATATACACTCTATAGATATTGATTCACGCAACATTCTTGTGGTGAATTCCGCTTCGATGTCAATAATAAGTTTAATTAAAATACAAAACGTGTTTATATCACGCTTAGTGTACATACACAAAACGTTGTAAATATTCGTGTCCTGTCTGGTGATTGGCTTGAAAACTCCCATTAATTTATTAAGAATTTACATTTACAGCCCAATCAAACGTGTTCGTCCGGATTTGGGAATGGACAGAGGCTATTCGGGAAAACTGCAGAACTCTCAACTATTAGCCCAATATTATGGTCAACTGAGAGGTTAAAAAGAAACTACCAGCCCATAGATTTGGAATTAAAACAATAATTTTATAGGAATTTAAATTTTAATACAATAAACAGCATATATTAAATTCGTTATTCTTAACAAACAATATATAATTGTGTTTCGTATTTGCTGTGATGTTACACGAACAATAAAGCTTACAATTTAGATAAAAGCGCTAGGTATTTCAGAATGTTCACATATTTATTCTCGTCCCCAAAAGCGCTTCTAGTGCCGGGTTGAGTTTTCTATTATTAAATAGAAAATGTTTTCTTATGACGCTCAAACCTTTGTTGGTATAAAACAAACATCGTGGTTCTAATCCGTATCAAAAATTCGAGTGAATAGTTCATTCACAAATACCGATACCACTTGGTTTTTAATTCAATAATTGCTAATGTAACGTTGTCACTAGCCCAGTGAATTTATTTTACATTTCATACGTCATACAATACTTTTAAAATGTTTTTGATCAACGAAAATAAGGTAAAATAAAATTAAATAGAACTGCTTCAAAAATAGTATATTATTACGTAAAGGGAAAGAAATTGTACGATTATTCCTGAGGTGCAATTTATAATCAGAGAGCGAAATACGAAAGCTATAAAATACCAAAGGAAAAATAGCAATCCTTTCTAAAAAAATTGTATTTTTTGAAATTACACCATGGCGACAATAGAAATGTTTGTTGACGATGAGCCAATCAACGAATGGGAATGACTTAGTAACAATATTTGCTCCTGTCGTTATGCTCATTTTTCTTCATAGTCATAGTTTTGACAAAAGAAAAGTTGATTTTTACTCTCCGTTGTGCAAAAAAACTATTTTTTGAATACCATATGGTGCAAAAAGAAGACCACCTTAATAGGTGTAAAGATATATTGTTATACTTTTGCAAGTTTTGGACAAACTAAAAGTCATTTTGTTATTTGAGTTTTAACGACACTTTTATTTAGACTCACCAGATTTTTGAATTGCGGATTTCATTTGTGTTCCACATATTAAAATTATTTTTGCTCCAAAAACTTATTTAAACTGTTAGATAAATATCACATCAACTATGTAGACGCCTATCTTGCAAAATAAGAAAAATCTCGCATCTGAAAACTTTAGTTCGCTACGTTGCTTGCATCTCAATTGTGTGCCGTTGCCGGCAGCTGAGGCACTGCCCAACCTTTATTGTTTGATTTATTTTAATTAAACAGATAAAGTTTTAATTCTGTAATATTTGATGGAGAATAAAAATTTTGTAACGTTACGTCTGACACTGCCAAAATTCTAAAATGCAACTTGGATAACATTTACTTAACACTTGACGTGCCATGTATAAACTGTACATATACCTACGTACGTCTATGTAACTGATAAAAAGACACGCTTTTATGCATCCTTCGTAATGTACCGTTAGTGTTGATAGGAGTGTCATGTCGTCTGTAAAAACATTATATTAATCGAAAGCTAAAAGTGCAATGTTTACAGCTCCAAGGAGGATACGAGTATATCTAAACGATTTCTAAGTTTTGGAGTTGACCGTGGAAGTTCGGGAAAAGTTGAGAATTTAACGAGATGTCTAGCATTTAGGGCTTCTTCTCCCTGCGGTCCAGGACGAAGGAAGCGTAATCTCAATTCTAATAATTGTTATGAGAAGAGGAGAGTATTTACGTGTTTAGAATAAAAATATGATTTTGCTTGTAGGACTGACGATGACGGTGCTCTAAGACAATTGATTTTTCGCATACAATAAATATACCTATTGAAAGTGTTTGTTTTTATTTATTTTAAAAGAGAAGAATACTAAGTAAAATCACATCGCCTCGTAAACTCGTAATAGTAGAAGATTAATTTTTCTTTTATTGAATGTAGGTATATTAAACCTTCCTGCTTTCAATCATTTGTATTTACCACAACCTGGTCGATAAAGCCGTCAAAACATCCCTTTTGTCCTGTCTGTTCATTATTAGGCCTGTTGCAACGATTTTCCACCAGGATTAAAAACGTTGCTTTTCTGTTAAATGTGTTAAATAATTTCAGTTTTGAGTTAGTTAAAAATAGGTTGTAACATAAGTAAATTAATAAATACATTAATTTTAAGCACGTGCAGAACTCGCCAAATGCAAAAATTTTTATGTTCCATTTTTTCTAAAGCGCAATAGTTATCTATTAAATTAAAAAACGTTTATTTTGTACCTACTCACTGTTAAAGAGTGCTTTTATCTACTAATTTCATTAGATAAAATAGCCTTTTATCGTCTAGTGAAACAAAGTAATTTCTATCTACTGTTTATATTCAAGAAATTCTGGTAGATGAGTACAAAATAAAACGACATATTATACACGACGATAAAGATGTTTATCTACTCGTGAAAGAAGTCCACTCGTGACTTCGTCACTCGTATACTTAACCCTTTCACTTGTAGATAAACAATTTCTTTATGGTCTTGTATAATAAATAACTATTTCCTGCTAAATCTCGTACACACACGCCACTAAACAAAAACGCAGGCAAAATGAAGTTGATTTGTCTTTCGGTTGAAACAAATACATCATAATTAATATCTTGTTTTTTAAACAACGACATTGTAAAATTGAATACCAATTTTATTAGGAAAGGCAGCCGTTAAACTAGTTTAATGTTTATTAATAAATTATTATTTTAACAATAAAAATAAGTTTATAATTAAGTGTATCTGCAACCACAAAACACTCGAAGCATTATACAAACATATGTATTCCAAATGTCAAATAACTCACTAAATTATTTATTTTGATCTATTCCGTGATCTCAAAGTCGCTGCACAGGAGATGAAATTCACTACAAAGTCCACTCTCAAAAACACCCAAACAAATCACGATTCTGCTTCCTTGTTGTTTTACAAGGGACAATATGTCTCAAAAAATATCGATTTTTGCATTGCAAAAAATTGTTGCATTTGGCGAGTTCTGCGCGTGGTTTAATTAATGTATTTTTTATATTACACCTCGCATTTTGAATAAAATACATGTATATTATTTATAAAAACCTCAATGCAAAAACATAATTATTGAATATCACCAAAGATCAAGTCAAATCAAGTGATTTATGAGCTACTTGGAAATTTTAGCACAGTTTGCACTGTTTTAAGCTTATAGTTTATGTAAAATTTGAATATAAATTTGTTAATTTTTCATCACCAGGAGTAAAACTATTGTTTGTAAATGAAAATATAAAATTTCCATTTTTAAAACGATCAAGCTTTTTGTTTCAAAAAGCATTTTTTAAGGAGAATGTTTGTTGTATTTTCTGTAGTTGTTTTTTTTTCTCCTACTTGGCTTTTTGAGAATCATGAACTGATTAAACTAATTATTCCAGTGCCTGAAATCCTCTGTAATTCTTTGCGTGTCACCACACATGAACGTTATATCTTTAACCGTTTATAAATTCATATTTAAAAAAAAACTTCACGTTGTCTTAACAAAATTAAAGTACAATATGCAACAACTTTTCATTTTTTTTGCTAATTTAATTAATCTGTTATTTTATCCCTAAAAACCAATATAAACTTTCAATTGCAGTCTTTTCTGTGACTTTTAGTCAATCAAAACCAAATTGTAGTGGGAATTTGCTACTTACAAAATTATTCACAATCGCAACATTCAGATAGGACAAAGCTACTAAAATCATATATTACCAATAAATAAATAAATTTTGTTACCCATTTCCTAAATTAACCAATAATAATAATGAGTAGCTACTTAGTTTTTGGACAAATTTAATTAAGAAAAATTGTTACTAAAAATTTACAGAGGTAGAATAGGTGCATATGATGTGAAAAATATTTTCATAACCCACCACTTATGAACCGAAAATATCTTAGCTGGGATAGGACAGAAAATATTTTTGTATTTATTGTTTAAGCGTCTCTGAAACTATGTCAACATTTTTAATATCAAGAAGAGAAAATAAATTTTTACTTACCTATTTACGTTGCAACAAAAGCTTTTCCAGAGACAAATAAATCTTCCTTTAATCAGTTCAAGACCAAATTTTATTTACTTTAAGCTGGGGAAGATCAATACTAAATAGAATTGCCCATTCACAAACCGAAAAATTCAGGAACATTGGCTCATTGCACAACTAGTGTTCTTTTAAGTCATGCCCCGCAAGTTCTTTTTGTCCAAATAATATTTAAAAAGTGCCTTTTGATTCAATCGAATATTCTTCAGTAATTTCATTCCACATGATGGCATTCTCCACTTCCCACAAATTATAAAGTCGCATGTAACTTAATCAATCACAACCTTCAACAACTACAATATTATAATGTACTCCACAATTCACTAAACGACTTCATTAAGACACGTCTCGACATAACTGATTAACCTGTAATTGAATAATTTCAGTTCCAAACGCGGCTTAGACCTAGGTCTCAGTCGTGGCTTCTCTGGTTCTCAAGCAGCCAAACATCTGATGGGCCTAGCAGCAGCCAACTTCGCTGGGGGTCCAGGCAGAAGACGTCGAAGCGAAGAAGAAGCATAAATGGACAACAGAATAAATGTACTTCAATTTCCAAACAGTTCCTAATGTTAAATTTAACCTCTCTCTATCATTTCTGTCGTATAAAGTAGACAACCCCACGTAGAACATTTAGAAATAGTAATCGTATGGTACACGAAAAAATGTAATAAACCCTTTCCCACCCTCTGTACAACATTATTTCTGAAAATAAAGCACAGGACGCAGTAACAGCACCTTGACTTTTTAACTTGTAATTTATTGTTTGTTAGTTAAGAGATGTATTGTACAGGAATTATATTTCATTTAAATAAAGTTTAAAATATCACTTTGTTCTTTGCTCAGCGACTCTTTGAACAAAATTTCTACCACGAAATTGACAATATTCCTTTCAAAATAATTAGATTAAAAGTATTAGCTGAAATATCCTTGAGCCATCTCGCTTATAAAAACTAATAAATTGGTGTAAAATTACGTATTTATTGATTTTACAAATTTGATACAATATGCTAATATAGACTACTTCGTCCATTGTTAGTAAAACTAAACTCTTCCAACACACCCAAAAGTAGCTTTACTAAAAGGAAAATACTGGCAGGATATTATATTCATACGATTGACAGGTATTGACCGATGAGGCCCATCAATTTTTTGAAATCCAAACTTTTTCAACCAAAATTAAAACTCCGACACATAATATTTAGAATTGTCTGGCCACAAAGTTAGAACAGAGATCTCATAATACAGCACACGTCTTTTTCTATTAATAGTCATCGTCGTCGCGGCGCTTTTCTGTGTTGAAACACCTGTTGTCCTCATAACATAAATTTAAGGAATTTCGACAAAAAATTGAAAAATGCATAATATTGTTGTTTATAAACTTATTAAATGTTTAGATCTGACGACTTCTTTTATTAAACCACACTAAAATTTTACCCTGTATCTGTGTATTTCATACAAATATACAAAAAATAGTTCTGCGACAAAAAAACTTCACTACAACCTATTTTGCAACCCTGACCTTTTTTACTGAATTATATTGTTACTTTCAATGCCTTAGCACCACTCAACTGGAATTTTTAATAAATTCATAAAAAACGTAGCAGTTGAAATTTTGGTAATAAGTTTTATTACATGCAACAGTCGTAAATTTAAGAAATAACAGAATAAACAAAATGTGTTTTAGATAGGCATTTTTTGTCCTCATATCATTACGCAACATTATCAACTGTGAAAGTTAAATTAAATTTATTTTTCCCACTCAATAAACTCGTTATGCAAACGGTTCCTCCTTCCATATAAAAAACATTCTTTTCAACTAAAAAGATACAAGGCAGAATTTTCAAGAATCCAATTTGATCGAAAACACGATAACTAGTTAAATTGCTGTGGGTAAATAAAAAAATTAAATAAAAGACGTCATATAGGAGTCTTTGTTTTATTCCTTAATTTGTTCAAAACAACATTTTAAAACTGGTTTTTAAAGAACAGCGCGCTAAATGACAATATTTCATAGGTAGCATTAGTTATAGGACAAAAATCTATACAGGTAAACTCAACATGATACAACAAACATAAAAATACACATCCTCTGCAAAACATTTCAATTTTTGAATACATTAATAACGTACTTACTGATCGACTGCAACGTCCTGTATGAGGTTCGAGTAACGCCCACGTTTGATAACGAAGAAACAAATACAAACGATAAAAATGATGTGTTTTAGAATATTGTCCGGTGCGTCCATGTATGCTATCGCAAATGGAATACACCCTCGCTACACGAACCCCAAAAGTAAGGCCTATATCTACGATAAAATGTACACATGTGTTTCCAATTCCTATAAAGGCTATCTACTAAGACCGATCAGCGCTTTTTGGACACAACGGGATTTGTAAAGCACAATTACTTATCAATTATAATAATATTAATAACCATAAAGTGTATGTGTGTGTGAATCGATGGAGTGACAGTGTTGATGAAATACATACATTTACATACTCTAGAAGCACTTGCAGTCGGATTCTAACGATTACATGATGTACAATGGAAAGGAACAAGGATCGGTTTCGCAGCAAACTTTCTTTCCATTCACACTGTTTTCGCACGTCGAAACGAAGCCGCGAATTAAGACTTTTATGAAATATATTTACAACATTTGCAAAACGATCAGAGACGCGCTTTCGAAAATATCGAGTGGTACTTGATGGACGAACGAGCAACAGATGACACAAATTCCTTTAATCTCAAAAAATAAAACTATAGTCTGTAAAATGCCAGAAAATGAATGCAAACATTTCCATGATTTTTTTTAACAGATCCCTAAGCTAATCCGGTTATAAATGTCGCAATCATCAAATTATCAACTCTATTATCAAACCTTTAAAGTTGATGAAAATCCTTCATAGCCCGTTAATCAGCAACAACCCAATACATGGAAATAAATATTTTTACCGAAAACTAGTTATTTTTCCTACATTACAGATATTCGAAGGGTGTGTTATATGAGACTAAATATTAATTTTGTCAATCTTTTGCTCAATCCAGCCACTGTCATTTGTGTAGCTAACGCATATACCGATTCGACCCCTGCAAATGCCTTATCGGTAAAAGTAAAATTGACCTTGCATCACTTCTTGATGTCCCTAATCACAATGTAACTAAAATAGTCATTACTATGTAAGATACATGTCTGTTTTTATAAACAGAAGCTATTTTCAGAGTGACAAATGTCGCCTACCCGTTTTATAAAACGCTGCATTGTCTTAAGGTCGAATCGCTAGGTAAGGAAAAATGTCTATATCAGGAGATGCAGACACTATGAAGTATGGTCAAACATATTCTTAACACTGTACCTATTTATTATGTGTTCAACATCTCATTAAAGAAATAAAGCTATTTTCGCAAAGCACCAAAAAACACAGGTAGGTAACGTAAAAATAAACTACACTAAAAGTACATACAAATCTCTCAAAACATGGGCGACAATGAAACACGAAACTTCCTAATATCCATACGACCACTTCCAATATAAATAAAATAACAATCAATGTTACGCAATACTATATTATACAAACTAAAAATAATTCAATTCACAAAATATGGCAAACTGGTTTATCGACGTGGTCTTAGTTTCCAACGAGGTGCACATTTATAAAGAATTAGTGCGCTTTAATCAATGTAGCGTGAACCATAGCAGTTGTCGCCCTAATTCTCGAAAAATTCACACCCGGAATACCAGCGCCAATCACTTTGAAATGTTCAAAAAATAATTACTTGATACCATTAGGATATTTACAGGGTAAATTTGGTGTTTTTCTCCAACTAAATTATCACAATAAAAATTATTTTTCCTCATTCTACCACATGTTGCCCACAATTAATTAATGATCAAAATGGAAGAAAATACAGAAAAGAACCAACACTTCACTTAACACAAAAATAAATATTATTAAGATGGAGAGAATTCTGACGAAACTACACGTTTCAAGAACACTCACTGAATGTGTTCTGTGTCCTGAATCCCGGATTTTCCCCAAATCTCTTGCTGAAACGAGAACATTTTATTAGACTCTCATTTTCATCAAAATTAAATAAACATAATAAATAAATGGAAAGTTAATTTGATTCTTTTCTGCATGATTTTTAAATAGATCAAATTTGTTAAAATTCAACAAATTATAAGTAAATCGAAATACCAACTGAAAACAAAGTATAAATAAACCATGAAGTTAATAAGCGCTGCCTATTTCTGGTTTTACAGTTTATTCAATTGACAAATTTATTTTTTGATGACCTAACAAGAGTAAACCCACACAACCTGCTTTGCTTTTACCGAAAAAAAAAACACCAATCAAAACACAATTTTGCGAATGACCACCCTTTCATCAGAATGTTTTTGAAATAGACAAATTATTAAACTCTGTTTAATTTTAATTTTATTTAAATTGTCATGTTTAGAGATGATGAAATCTGTTTACTATTAAGTCGATCCCACTGCAACTGTTTCGCGAACTCGCCCAACATCTCCCCCTTTTTATTACGCAAAGATTTCTATTAATATTATTATAACGTAAATCCACTCTTTTTTAATTTAAAATTTGACAAAAACGAAGATGGTCTCATCACAGACAAATTTGGTACAAATGTTTAAAAATATCTAAAAAAAAATACCAACTGGATAAAGTAAGTCAAGGTCCCGAGATGTACATGCTAGAGCGATAAAAAGCTTTTTTAGCGTTATTTAAAAAATATAGTAAGTCATTATCATTGAAAATCTTTCAAAGGAAACTTTACTACATCTGAATCTAATTATTGACAACGTTTATCTCGTACCCTTAGGTCACTTTAAAAAATGGTAATTGCTTCAAATCATTTTATGGCACTAGGTAAAAAAATATACTCGACAGTTGTGAGTAACATTATTTGAAAAGAAAGTATGCACTGAGGATGCAAGAAATTGAAAAACTGTGCGTTCAACAAAATTTCTGATCAAAGTGGGCTATAACTTCAAAATTAAGTTGGGAACATTGAATAACGTAAAAATAATTGTGAAATTTGTATTATTAATTCTTCTAACTTATGATATCAAATTGTTTCAGGTGTTAGCGTTTGTATTTGGTAATACTTTTGACACTCCTACCTTATTTAGTGTCGCCAACTTAGTTTCAAAGTCACAAACCACTTTGATCAGAAATGTAATTGCTATATTCATTACAAAAACCAAAACAATCCCAGGGAATAAAAAAAACTTTTATTCTTTAAAATAAATGTGAAATGTGTGTATAAATAAATAACGGTTGTCCCAATTTTTAGTAAAAACTGAAAACGTCGAACATTAATAAATTTTGGCCTTGGACTCGTACCTTTACATGCAATTTACAATTATTTTTTGAACATCCTTACCATCTTGAAATAAGGTGTAATAGAAATAAAAAAACGTCAATCAGATTACGCATCAGGATTTTTGTGTATTTTATGTGAAATTTGCTGTAATTTTTGCTAGTGTTTTTTTTTTCATAAAATAAATGAACAAAAACTCTTTCACTATTTATATTGCATTTGTATGAATACATAATGTGATAACCATTATTAATAACAATAAATGTATAGTAACTACATAGTAGTGACTAGGAGACATATTTGGGTGCTTTATGAATAAAATAAAATTGTTTTTGTCAATTTACTAACAATAATTGAATCAGAGTACTATGGAAGTCGAAAGTTAATGTGTGACAGGCAATTGTCGCTAAAGGTCTTGATCTTACAATTAAAAAGATAGGTTTGTACCATAATGCGAATTCACAGCTTAGATTGGACACTCTGCACCCACGGATTTTAAAAAGAGAAATAGAAATAAACTGCCCACTATTTAATGTAAATAGTGCAACCTAACCCGGCTATTATACAATATTTACAATGATTAAAAATAAAACTAACCACAATAAAATTATAATACATTAAAATCTCCATCACATAATACTTGTATAGGATTCGATAAGTCCCCTGTGTTAAATTGAAAGAAACTAATGTGGTGCAGAGTCACCAACCTTACAAAACACAAGGCTGGAAGTCCGTCAATAGCCTGAGGAAATGGCAAGGCTACTTACACATAAAAAAATTCAGAACTCCGCGAATTCCTTGGCGCACTTCTCCGTCGAAGAGATACGCAACGCTTCCTCCTCGTAATCGTCGAAATTACTTGTATCTCCCGGTCCCTTGCACCTGGGTATGAAGGGAGCCTCAATCTTCTTCTGAAAAATCGCGATCCAATCAGTCGACGCAAACCACTTGTGCCCTTTGATGTCGTTAACGCCGGCTTTCAAATTCCCGTAACGCTTAGTAAGGTCCACTTGGAGTAGGTTACGAAGCAGATCCTTGAGGTCGGAACCGAAATGTGAAGGAAAACGTACTTTCCCCGAGACAATTTTCTCGTAAATCTGGATGGGTTGATCGGCGAAAAAGGGAGGATATCCAGCCGCCATTTCATACACCAACACACCGAGCGCCCACCAGTCCACCGCCTTGTTGTAGCCCTTGCTGAGGATGATCTCGGGGGCGAGATACTCCGGCGTGCCGCACAGGGTCCAAGTGCGGCCCTTGACGCGCTTCGCGAAGCCGAAATCAGTGACCTTGAGGTAGCCCTGCGAGTCGATTAGAAGATTCTCCGGTTTCAGATCTCTGTAAATCAGATCTAGGTAGTGCAAGTATTCGAATGCAAGCACAATTTGGGCAGCGTAAAATCTCGAATGTGGCTCGGAGAAGCGTCCGACTTTCCTGAGATGCGAAAACATCTCACCTCCGGGCACATACTCCAGCACCATGTACAGGTTAGAATTGTCTTTGAAGTGAAACCGCAGACTGACGAGAAATGGAAAACTGATGGCCTGCAGAATGCGTTTCTCGTTGAGGGTGTGCTCCACCTGTTTCAGTTTGACCACTTTCTGTTTGTCGAGGATTTTCATGGCGTAATACTCCTTCGTGGGTTTATGCTGTACGATCATGACGCGCCCGAAAGAGCCCGTGCCGAGGGTCTTGATGCGCTCGAAATCGTCCAGACAGGCGGTGTTTGTTGGGTTTTTCTTCCATTTCTCCTCGAAATCCTCCTTCGCCTGGTCGAGGAATTCCTTCACACTCTCGGCAGAGTCGACCTTTTTGTTTGCCGTTGCGGCATTGTTGCCCATGGTTTGGACTTTTAAACCTTCCAGGGCTTCGAGTTGATTTCTACACCCCGCCTGAAGCACCAAGGATGATCTCGGATGCAAGAGCGGATGTCGCGATTTGTCCTGTGTCAACACAATTCGTACACACGCATTCTGTTTGGAGTTTCTTTATCTCTACGATATTAAAGACGCACTATTGAGTCACAGCCGCTGATTAGACAGATAAAGGTGCAACACAAAAAGTAAATACACTGTGATAATTCGTCGAAAAACCACTGATCAAACGATAAAATGGCTACCAAGTGCCCAGATTTTCACTTCATTTGGGGATTGAAGCTCAGCCACTCGGTCGCAAGTCAATTACATGATTTTGGGGCTCGCCAACAGAGGACTCCACCTCATGGATGGTAATACCTTCAAGCGGACAACGCTCTAAACAGTTATCACACTCCGGGAGATTTGAATTCACTGAGACTTCAAATAATTCAAACATTATGTTCTATTAAACGTAAAAATAAGTGCTTCGAGTGTCTAAAAAACGTTTTTCTACAATTTTATATATTACAATGGCCCTTGACACAGTCCTTGGTAAATTTTCATGAAAAAAGAGGTTAAAACCTTTCAAATCTTGAACTACAAAACGTCAAATATGACATATTTGACAACGACACTGCCCACTTGAAAATTAATTTATTAATATACAGAGTGAGAACTTTAGTACTCAGACAAATTGTAAACGCAGTGCAACGCCGTTTATTACATTTGTGTACCTAAATAAAGCCTAAAAGCCCATACGTGTTTGACAACCTTGTTTTGAAAATTATCAATTTATTTTTTACGCATAAGTGTATAACTGGTTGCATATAAAAAAGTTTGTTAATTAAATTTTTATTAGATTGGTACAGAAAGCAAATAAATAATAAAAACTAATAAGGATTAAACAACAGTATATTATTAGCAATTCAATTCTCCAGTGGTGCATTTACTAAATATTTTTTTGACTTGACTTCTGCCATAGTTTTGGAATAAGAAAATTTGATTTCTATCCCCGTCGTGCAAAAACATGTATTATTATTATTATTGCAGCCTTAAATTCAAGTGAGAAGTCTAGTGCGCGTTTGCTTACGCAAGTACATTTGGCTGTTGTGATTAATGACTGATCGTTGAAGTATCGGTAACTTTAAACCAATCAAAACGCGCAAAACATAGCGCGCAAATTCGTTTTATTAGATTTTATTGATTATATGTAGAACTAAGTTTACAAACATCAAATTCATTGCTAATTAAAATATGATTCTTATTAAATGATCGTAAGTGTCGCAAGTTGCTAGTCTGTCAAAAGTTATGTTACAAAACTGACGTCAAAATTGAAAAGTAATTTGGCAGTCAGTCCTGAGTGGCTTGAAATCGGGCCAAAAAAGTTCATTACGCCTAACAAAAATGTATTATCATTTGATCACCAATTTCACGTTTTTTGTACATGCCTTTAAAAAACACTCTGTATGTAGCTTGCTTCCTCCTTCCTGCCTGTCTATTTCCCTCTTTTTTTATTGCTTGAACCTACATTGAGGTACAAAAGAACAAAAGTGCATTAACCTGAGTCAAACCTATGAGGTATTGTTCTTGATCTTTATATCAGCGGAGGTGGCGATTAACTGGAAATGAAAGAAAAAAATTAATTATTGTAAATAGAGGGCGGTTAACTCAAGAGATAGGGAAGGATGCAAAAGCTTTGCACAAAAAAAGAAACCCCTCTCCAACTGCTGATCATCTCTGTTCTATAGATACTAATCGTTTAATAAATCGGTAAGGTATCGTATGGCAAAGCACGATCATTTTCTAAACGCTACTTTCGATCAATATTGTGCAAGTTCTATATTTAAATAAAATTATAACGGCAATAAAATAAATTTAGTTATAACGGCCAAAAAATTTCCACGCCGATCGTAACCGATTATAGCCGAATCTGTTTACCTCGAAGCAATCGACCAATGGCAAGGCTCGTTGGCAAGGTTTCCTTTCTCTATTTCTGTCTCACATTTTCTCTATCGTTTCGCTTGCTTGTATACGTTGGTGTGCACGCTCTTAGTTTTTGCTATTTTTTTTTGAAAAACATCGTCCCACACGACAAAAATATGGCAGATAAGACAACTCAACAAAAGTAAGTTCATGTTTTATAGAAATGTTGCTTTTGTTCATTGAAAAACATCGATTTTCACCGGTCTTTGTTTTTGGCGGCATCTCGGCAAAATGGCGGTTTGGAGGTGTTAGAAAAGCCGGTAATTCCGGCGCGACCGGTTCGATAACATTTCATTCATGCTTGTTTCGACAGTATTTCAGTATTTTTTCCCATTTTTGCTACCCCAATTCGTGAAATAACGGCATTTGTTCTTCACTTCCGGGAAGCTTGACGCCACTTTCTGCAACCGTTTTCACCACTTATCAGTTATCAGCGTACTCATGCAATCAACCCTGTAAGGATCCGTTTTATACGAAATCGGCTGTTTTCAGTTACAGTGAGTTTTCTCGAGTGCTTAGGAAATGTAAATAAACAAGTGCCGGCTGAAATAATTAACTATACAGAGTGGTCCCTCTATCGTTTGTTTGCGCTACTTGATCAAGGACGCCACTTGTTAAATTAGAAATTTGGATTCATGAAATTTTTTATGTCGTTAATTCAAGTTTTTTGACCGCGCATCGCAACGAAACCGTGTAGTGATTCGCTTTTTTAAACGTCATGACCGGAAACGTGAAGTTTCTCATTCTCACAGTCGTTTGTTTGACTTTTGACTCAGCAGCGTCACTAAAGAAGTAGGCCATCAAAAACAAAAGCGTTCTTCATACAGAGAAACTTGGTTCAAAGTAATTTCAGGATTGCTAAAATGATCTTAATACTATTTAAAGAATGAAAAATTTTTTTGTTTAGTTTCCTTAAAAATAATTTGTTTATATTTATTAATTTGTTTATTTATATTTAAAAAAAATTGTCTGTGGTGGTAATTTCAAAAATCGATCTGTTGCGAACTGGCGCTAAATTTAAATGTGAAATTAAGTTGACATTGCACACTCTGAGTGAAATCATTTTAAACACCTCAATTTTTGTACAAAAAGTATCATTAAACGGTTTCAAAAGGTGTGTGACAATTCTATAATCGACAAAATTGTAATTTTTGGTAAAAATCTAAGGGTTCATGAAAACACCGAGACATTCAAGAATGAAAAGTGTGTATATATAATAGAAGATTCTTGAAGCAAGTTTAAATTCTAGTGCATGTAGCTAACTTTACATCAAATTGACCTTTTGGTTGTGATCGTTATTGACGGCTCAAATGCATGTTTTCTATTTAAGAACGGGTTTTCACTAATTCATGACTGAAAGTATCGCATTTGAAATGGTTCGATATATTGATTTGAAACGCTGAGTACTTATTACAGAAGTGCATGTAAATGTCCGGATGTGAGAATAAGTAAAAATGATCGATTTATCTACTTTATTGATAACTCCTACCCCCTTTTAAGCACAATGAATCTTTCCAGCTATCACAAATAATGCTTTTGTGTGAACTAGTCTTGACAAATTTGTCAAATTACCTGTTGATGTTTCTGCATGGAATTTGTTGACTTTCATTACAAGTGATTACAATCACACGGTAAAATTTTAAAACCTACAAAGACAGATCAAATTCATACAAATGCATCATCCTACAGTGTCGTAAGATTGAATGACATACCTAAATTTGGTAAACAGTTTGTAATATACTTCAGTTTCCCAAAAAAAAAAAATAAATAAATAAATAAATAAAATGAAGGAAAATTTTTGGTATTTTAAAGATGTCCAATATTGAATTCTTGCCTTGTGTCTAGCCTTGAAAGCGTAACTGCATGTTTGTGGTTCATTAGCACTTTTAGCTAGAATTGTGTAAATTTTTATAAAAAACATTTCCTTGACAAATTCGTGGTAGAAATTAATTAATAAGATAGAATAAATTTTAGAATCAATGGAATGTGTTGTATTAATGTTGAAGTTTTAAAGTGTTTAGAGGTGAACGACCCAATTTCGCTGTATTAATTTTCACAAGCTGAGAAAATTTTTCTTTATAATTTTGTGCGAAGAGGTCATTGCGTGCGTTTGAAATTTACCGATATGGTTCGTTAAGCGAATCGTGAATCGGTTTTTAAACAATTGTTCAAACCACGATAAATCTAATTCTAGTCACCGTGAAATCTTATATTGTCATTACTTTGCAGAGAAGTCCAATCCACCGTCGAAGAAGTTGACAAATCCAAAACCGAGGAACCAACTACTGAAGAGGATTCCAAATCGGAAAATGGAAAAGTTGCTGAAAACGGAGAGGAAGCGGAAAAAGAAAATGGGATAGAAGAAGCTGAGGAGAAAACTATTGCTGCCGCTGACGATACAGGTAAAGTCAACATTGTGTCATTTGAGATATGTATTATAAAATTATAATTTTAGATAAAGTGTGCTCAGTGAAGAGGAAATCAACAGGTGGAGATGCTACCAGCGAAACTCCAGCCGAAGGTGCAACTCCCGAGAAAAAAGCCAAGTTGGCTGAAACCACCGAAGCGGAATCGAATGGCGAAGCCGAAGTGGCAGCCTAAATAACACAGAAAATATTTTTAGTATTAAGTTATGTTTTATTTCCGTACTTGTGTAATGCTAGGGTTTGCAAATTGGTGTACACTAGTCGCCCTAACATTATACATATTTAGTATTTGTATTACATGACACCACGATTTTTTAGAAAATTGCATTTATTTTTAGTTTCATTTTGGCATCGTTACTAACACATTCCCACTAATATGGAAAGTTCGATGTTACGATGTTCTAATGTTGTGGGTGCCAATTTAAGGTGCATTTGTGTACTTAAACATTCATTTTTTACATAATCAACGTTAGTTTTCAGTCTAAATAATAATTACTATTGTCCTGTGTTGTGAATTTAATGTAAGATATTATGGCACATGTTGAGTGTGTTAGAAGATTTAAGAATTTTGTTATTGTAAAATGTGGTGAATCTCTAGGAGCCAGCTCTGCCATTACCTCACTAACACTGGTTTCTAAAAGAATATGTGTTCATATCAAACATAGCTTATTTTGTACTGCTTTCATTTTTGTATTCGTCTCAAACATAGATTACACACGTTGTAAATTCGGCAACTAACAGTATTCTATAAAGGGTTCTCCAAACATTGGAGTTTTGCTGCTATGGTACAAACTGATTGTATTTAATTAGTGGTATGGTAATAAAGAGTTAGTTTCCGGTAATATGTTTTCTTTTTTGTCAGAATATGATAACCCACCAATTACTGACAGTTTTAAAATTGTTCAACTGCAAGAAAGTCAGCATCATTCTATTGACCAGATTTGGGAATTTTTATGTCGTAGTATTGGTACTTGTCGATATAACCAACTATTTTGCTCGAATAAACAACAGTTTGATATCTTCTTATTAATCTTTTTGTTATCGCGGGAGTTCTTATAAATACAAATAGCCGGCAGAGTTAAAGTTCAGTTGGTTCATTCCGATCTCTTTCTCACCACAATGCTGAGGTCAAGTGTGATATTTTTGATAGTTTGTGTACTTGTTGCAAATGCTTTTGTCAGGTAGGTCACATTGTTGTAATTTAACACTTCTGAAGAGTTACTGTTTACACAGAGTGCCTTTATATAAGGTGAAGTCCGCTAGACGCAGTTTACAAGAAGTGGGCACACATGTACAACAAGTCCGTATGAGATATGGGGGCCCAACTCCTGAACCTCTCTCCAACTATCTAGATGTAATTTTGTTACATATGTGTGTGTTTTTATTAATTTATATTCATTACAGGCCCAATATTACGGTCCGATTTCAATTGGGAACCCCCCGCAGAATTTCAAGGTTGTTTTTGACACCGGATCATCCAATTTATGGGTGCCTTCCAAGAAATGTCATTATACAAACATAGCTTGCTGTAAGTGTTTGCAATTATTAAGTTCGCTTGATAATGATAGGTCACAAAATGATAAATATTTATTTAACATTGCGAGAATTCCATTAAGACTTGTTTTCTAGTGCTACACAATAAGTATGATTCTTCACAATCAAAAACCTACAAGAAAAACGGGACTGATTTTGCAATTCAGTATGGATCAGGGAGTTTGAGTGGGTTTTTATCAACCGATGTTGTTACAGTAAGTAAATGATTCATTCTATATGAATTTTATGCAGGTACCTCTATTATACTCATATGAGTGATAACTTGATAAGTAGTGATAAGTGTTTCATTTTTAAATAAATTGTATATTTTAGTGGATTACAGGCTTCAATGATTTTTAAACAAAACTTTCATATTTTTTCTACATCTGTGAAAGTAACAAATTTACTTTGTCACTTTTCAGTAGTTTTTCTGCTGTGAAAGCAAGTAAAACAACGATATTGTTACGCTCCATGATTGGGAAAATTTTTAACTAAGATGAGTTAATTTTAACAATATTTCATTATCGCTTATGTTTGTTGACAACAGACTGATTACAAACAATAAATGAAGCAACACTTTTTATGGTACATGTGATGCTAACGTTAACTTCTTGAATTGTGCACAGTACAAGACATTTCTAAGAGAATTGTCCAATTATTTATTTCAAAATTGTATACAACAGAGTGATTTCATCGGATATTTGATTGAAACAAACTTTACATTTTTGGTCATTTTATTTCTTCGAGAAAAACTGGAATTTTTATAATGAAACCCTCATTTTCACATATTTACTACTTAGTCATTCACTGAAAGTTGGTACAAAAACAACTATCCATCATTAATATATGAAAAGATTACTTAAAGTAAAATATAAAAACTTGAGAAAATAATGTGAATTGAAGAATTTGACAAAATAAGTTTGTATAGCTCCAGACTTTGTAACTTTCAATATTTTTCTTAAAATTTGCATATACAGACTGAATTATAAAAAACGCCCTACGCCATAATTTCAGTACTTTTAAAGACGTCATAATACTTCTTTGATCAAAACTGAACAGTTTTTTTGTTATCAGTCGTTTGATTGTCTTAGATAAAATGAATAAAACTGTTCTATTCTTTAATTTAATTTTTAAATTGCCTAAAAGCAAAGGTTAGTAATAAATAACACAGGTCTGCGAAATATAACTTTCATTTTCCCCTTCAAATAATTTTTGTTCTTTATAGTTATTTAGGTATATGAAGTTAAAATACAGCGATAACATACAAAATGAACAGTGTTAGTTTTAAACATGACTTACAAAACGAGGTAAATCAAGAACACGTATGTTTTTCTATTTGCTTCAAAACTCCTGTTCAATCTTTTTTTCTTGTAGTTACGATTCGGTCATCACTTTTTAACATCCAGCAATAGATTGAGAAATATTTTGGTGTTGTTTTCGTATTACATAACTCACATATGTAACAGAAGTTATTTGAAGAAATAACACATTTTAGAGAAGCCATTTATAATGCTTTTTTATTTTAATCACATAAAAATCACAAAAATATCTAATCGATACACGTATCTCTAAATATATTGATAATCATGATAAATTAGTGCGAGTTGGTGAATATTTGGATGTCAACAGTACTATTAAAACATACTGTTACAAATAAATTAGAAGTTAATTCTAGTAATACTAGAAAAATTGAAAAAAAAACGTTTTTTTCAGAAAATTTACGTGATGGATGTTTTTAAATATTTTTATAGCTAAATACTGAATACTTACCGAAATTACTACTCAGTTTTTTTAGAGGAAAACCATCGCAGGCCTGTGTAATAGTCAGAGCCAGATTCATAATAGAATTTAGAAGAGCATTAAATTAAATATTAACTTTAAAGTCCCTTTAATTCTGCTATGAAACTGGCCTTTAGTCAGTTTGTTGATAGACAATTTAATTAGGAATCTAAAAATAATAAAATATACAAGATCTTCCCTTTAAAAAACTGTAATTGATGTTAATTCCGGTGAATCCGAGGACAGCATTGTTTGAGCATCTATCTCAGACCTACAAACTGTGCAACTTTGTTCTAAGTAGTTTTGTCATATTTTTAAAAATAATGAAGTTATCAAAATTTCATGTCGATTTTTTATATTTAATTTTCTTTCAGGTTGGTGGTTTGAATGTACAGCAGCAAACATTTGCAGAAGCCATGAGCGAACCAGGTTTGGCATTTGTTGCCGCTAAATTTGACGGAATTTTAGGAATGGCTTACAACCGCATCTCAGTTGATGGTGTCACTCCAGTTTTCTATAATATGATGCAACAAAATTTAGTCGCCCAACCCGTCTTCTCATTCTACCTTAATAGGTCAGTTTTAATTCATTAATTATTATAAAATTATGGTAATTTATTAATTTTTAGAGATCCAAGTGCTCCACAAGGTGGCGAAATCATTTTGGGAGGATCTGATCCTGCTCACTATAAAGGAGACTTTACTTATTTACCTATTGATAGACAAGCTTATTGGCAATTCAAGATGGACAGCTTGAGTGTTGGCAAAAACACGTTCTGCGCAAATGGTTGCGAGGCGATTGCCGATACCGGCACTAGTTTAATTGCTGGACCTGTGAGCGAAGTTCAAGGAATCAACAAAGCCATTGGCGCTACGCCCATTGTCGGAGGGGAATACATGGTGGACTGCAATTTGATTCCCAACCTACCACTGATCGACTTCAAGTTAGGAGGCAAAAATTTCACGCTAGAGGGAAAAGACTATGTGCTTAGAGTGAGTAATGTGTAAATGTTGGAGAAGTGGATTTTCGAATGGTTTTATAGGTGGCACAAATGGGCAAAACTATTTGCTTATCTGGTTTTATGGGGATTGATATTCCCCCACCAAATGGACCCCTATGGATTTTGGGCGATGTATTCATCGGGAAGTTTTATACAGAGTTTGATTTAGGAAATAACAGAGTTGGTTTTGCTGTCGCTGCTTAAATAGTTTTCTGTTTATATAATTCCAAAGATTTTTTTGTAGATTTCTACCATTTTAAGTTGTAAAGCTTGTAGATACCTTTAATAAAGTTTTGTTGCAGTTTTCCTTAATATACAGATGTATATTTGCCTAAAAATTTCGATACATTGAAAAAGTCCACAAAATTTATTCAGCAGATTCACATAAATAAAACTTATTTTTAGTCTACTTTTTAAAAAATAATCTTAGAAGATTCACTAAATTAAAATTATATGTACACGATTAGTTGATTACAACTAAGCTTTCTGGGGATTGACAGAACTACTACTGGAGGTCACCTTTTTGCTATGTCTCACTTTTTTCACGTACGCTTCAATAAGATTCTTGATTTTAGTCGGATTAATTTCACCAGACTTATTGTGACATATCTGAAATAAGAACAAATCAATCGTACCCTTCTTGCTAAAAATTATCCTTATCTACCTTAGGAACAGCTCTTCTTAAAATATCCTTGTATTCCTCTTTGTTTATATGTTTTTTATTGTAATGTGGCTTTAACACCAATTTAACCTCCTCTACGACTCGCTCCTGACGGTTCAATTTCTTCAAAAACTGTAAAAGAAAAACATTACGATTAAATCCCCCGTTGAAAAACAATCATCAAACCTTGTCCTTTACTTGCATCTCAACGGCAGAATTCGGTAGCTCGTCTAGAATCTTCAAATTGTCTTCATCTATTTTAACTCCTACTTGTTTAGTACCTGCGGCAACTACCAGAGGTCAAACAGTCGTGTTAAGTTCGCAACTTACCTTTATTACCAACAGGAACAGCAGGTGGCGGCTTTTTATTAAACTTATTCGTCGGTTTGTCCTGTTTCGGCTTAGCTTTGTTAAACGGTGATGATCCAAAAAGAGCATCGAACGCATTCTGAACCTTTGAAGGTGACTTGACGTTCTTATTGGTGCTCGCTTTTGACGTTATTTTAGGAGCCGTCTCAACGGGCGGCTCAAACAAATCCTCGTAATCGCTGGAACCAGGCGAATACGGCGAATCAAAACCTAAATTCGTATCGGCAATATCGCTTCCGTTCTGATTGCGACTACTCGATTTCCTTGCAGCTTTGGAAGGCATTGGCTTGATAGGAGTCGCTTTGATCGCAGGCTTCGTCGGAGAGATTTTCACTGGACTCGATTTGACGGTATTTGGCAAAACGATCCTTTGTGGAATAGACGATGCAACGTGGACCGGTGTTAAAAGGGTTGTATTGAGGATGTTAATTCTCGGAAGCGCTAAACTAGTATTAACCGGCGTTGACGTCATTAAAGAAGTAGGTACCGATGATGAGAATGGAATGGTTTGAGCGACTGGTTTCGTCGTCGTCGTCTGTGTTACAGTGACGGAACGTTCTGGGGATTTACTTAAACTGGACTCAGGAGTGACTTGAATGCTACTCTGCGAGTCCGCAGGTTGGACGTCTGCCAAAGGTGGCGTATGTGACTTTAGAGCGTCCGGAGTTTGACTAATCGAATTGCTTGTTTTTTCCACTTCTGTACTAATTGTAATACTGTCGTCTCTGTTATCGTCGATATTTAGCACATTGCTGGACTGAGTTGCCTGAGGCTCAGGTGTTGGTGATCGAGATTTAGTCGGTTCGAAGGGATCGTAAGCGTCTGGTGAGCTCGGTGGTGAATTGGGCGGTTCAGGAGGAGTATTCGGACCTTTATGTAATCCGTCCACGTTCTCTTGGGTGTCGTCACCTGGAGGCTCAATATCGTCGGGCTCATGCAAAGGATTCGATATTGCACGCATTTGAGTTTGTTTTGATGTCAACGTGAATTTAACTTGAGGTTCAGGTGGTGTCTTGGGACCTGTCGTGTAATTATTCACGCATCTCTCTGGACTTGTCCCTTGTTGAGAAGAATCGCAGATTGCTTTCTGTAAATTCCTCGCTTCTTCGTTGTCACTGTCGCTTAACACAATGATGTCTTTAGGTGACGGAGTCAATTCTTTGAAAGGCGACCTTTCCAAATCTATTATAGCCACTGGTTTCACTCCGGTTAAATCGCGATTTTTCTTCTTCTTTTTCGTTTTATCCTTTTTAACTTTTTTAGTGACTTCTTCAACTTCTCGTTTTTTCTTCGTAGATACATCCCTTGTTTCATTATCTTTGTTAAAACTCACACTAACTAGGATATTATCGCCAGATGCAAAAACTTCTTTAGATGGTGGCGGAGTGTGTTCGTTACGTTTTCTCTTTTTAGCTCTGTCATTTTCTTTAGATTTCTTCTCGGATTTTCTTTTTTTATCTTTCTTCTTTTTATTGGCATCGTTTGTTAAAATGACAGTTAAATTATGTGGTTTTACTGTATTATCCATAATTCTTGGAGGTGTCCATGATGGAGTTAAATGTCGCGGTTCTGGAGTTCTCGATCGTGACAAAGAAGGTGTCCAATCTCTTGAATGTCTTCTAGACCACTCTTTAGTCCGTTTCGGTGTCGGAGATCTGGAACGATGTCTACTGCGACTCCTGTGCTTTTTGGTTTTACCCTTCGACCTATCACGTGATTTCCTCCTTCTTTCTCTACTCAGTGAACGCCTTCTTTTCTTCGTTTTAGATCGCGAACGTCTTCGATCCGTAGATCTTGATTTAGATCGAGATAGCGAACGACGATTTTTCGAACGTTTTCTCTTTTTTCTGTTTCTTTCTCTCGACGTAGATCTTGCTTTGGAAAGAGATCTGCGCGGTTTTGGTGAAGGAGATGGCGACTTTGTTCTTCTGGGAGGCGTTCTCGTTACTGAACCAGAAGGACTTCTTCTTATGTCCCGTCCAAATTTGTCTTTAGTGATCAATCGTCGCGGCTTTTCAGCTATCAATGCTCTAACGTCATAACGTTCGATTTCTTTACGTTTCTCCTTCTTTTTATCTCTCTTAAAGTCTTTGTCTTTTTTATCCCTCGATTTGCTCCTTTCTCGATCTTTATCTCGATAATTACGCTCTTTGTTACTTTTACTCAATTTTTTAAATGTCGATTCTGTTTTAGTATTTTGATTTTCATTTTCTTTATTTCCAGATTTATCACTTTCGTCCTTCTTTTTTATCGATTTCTTTCCACTTTCTTCTTTAACTTTTTTACCCTCTTCTTTTTTAACCTTTGATTTGTCAACTATTTCTCCTTCTTCATAATCCTCAGGTCGCGTGAAGTCTAATTCTGATTCTTTTGCATTTATTTCAAGAGCATCTCCGTCTGACGCCGTTTTTAGATCGTGAGATTCATCAAAGTCATTTCGATCCTCATCTGATATCATTTCAGTGTCTAGACCTTCGATACCTTCCTTGAAAGTATGGGGGCGCTCATCGAGACACGGTGTGTAACTTCTTTCTTCCTCGCTGATGTCTTCAGTCATATTGCGTATGTCTGTGATTCCAAACGAATTTCCCTTTTTTACAATTGTTTCATCTTCTGAATCACTGTATAATCCTGTACTCATAGAAGGCTTTTGTTCCACTCTTTGACTAATAACTGCTTCGGCTTTTATGGGTTCCAAAGGTTTAGGAGCCGGTGATGAACTAACCTCACCAACTTGATCATTTTCTCTATTGTCTTCAGATTTCATTTTGTCGTCGTCAGATTTTACTTCATCTTCAGTTACGCTCATACTTATGTCTGTATTTTTCGCCATGGTTATACTCTCTTTGGAATAAATACTGAAATTTGGACAGCCATCTTCTGAATCTTCATCGTCATCACCACACTTCTCTTCGTATTTTTTATCATCGAAAAGTAAATTCGATGACTGAATTGCTTGAGACTGAATTTCGGAAGATGAAGACACATCTTGCGCAAATGGACTTATTTCCAAATTCGAATCAACCGTCGAGGTAACTGTTGTTTCTTCTTTAACATTTTCTTCAGGCTCAGGGTTCGGTTTATCGGTGTCAATAACCATATCAGGTTCACTGTCATTATTCTCATCGTCGGTTCCAGTATTAGAAGTTGCTGGAAGTGGTGAAGGTGCTTTAAAATCACCTTCATCTGCTTTACTAGTACTGACGGTTTCTATGTCACTATAAATATCGATTTCGGATTCGCTAGCAGGTGTACCGCTTCTGGGAGTGTTGTCTTCTGACGCGTCTTCTTGTTTCTTTTTTGCTACGCTATTGTCCTCCACAGTGACATCATAAATGGTATTGAGATTGCTCTGTGTGTAATCTTGTGGATTATCGAATTGTTCTTGGATGTTTCCAGTCGAACTAGCGGGAACATTGCTATTTTCGACGGTGGATGTCGGTGCCGTGTTGTTCTGATCTGGACTTGAACTTCTGTGACCACTGGAAGTTGGTACATTGTCATTTCGAGCATCTTCCGAATAAGACGCTGGTCGCCGACTTACTAATTGATTGTAATTATTTAAGTCTTTCAATACTCTGTCTTTCGAATTGTCCATTGTAAATTTTCCGTCTTTACCAAGAGAAAATTTTGTATGTTTCGAATGAAATTTAGACTGAACATCTAAAATGCTCCCCAAGACATCAGTACTGCTCGAAACTGAATTAGGAACAGTTATACTTTTAATTAGCGTTCTTCTGCGACTTATTCCTCGTCTAATAACTACTCCAAAACCATCATCTTCATCTTCAGACACCACCAAGTCCAACTCATCGCGATTTCCAAAAATGCTTAAAGTTGGTATTCCTGCATTGTAACGCTGTGATTGTAGATTGCTCACTTGTGGTTGGACTCTCATTTCGGGAATATTCTGGGGGACGTTCCTAGGGGCACAGATCCCCAACTGCTTAGCTAACCTTTTTTTAACGGTTTTAGGGGTGGGAATTGGTCGCACTCGTCGTTTCTTCGTTCGTCGTTTTTTCGTTCGACGTTTCTTCACAGCAATTGTTTCCCCAGTCGCACTGTCCACTTTATAAACGACCTTATAAGACTTCTTCTTCTTCCTCCTTTTCTTCTTCTTCTTCACTCGTCGAACTGGGCGCGATGTACTGGAAACTGCCTGAGCGAGTTCAGGAGGGTCTACCAGTGCTTCAGTGTTGTTTCGGTTATTTGCTATTCGTTGTCGAACCCTTTCACTTTGGCGAGTCCGAGGTACTAATCTGTTAATTAAAAATGACGGTTTTCTTCTTTTCGACTGACAGACACAAAACTCCAACTTTCAGAAAAATTCAAATGGTTTGCAAAGTTTATTTTGAAATAAGAAAAAAAAACATTATTACAAAAAATCAGTGACCTCGTTCGACTTCGATACATGTTTAATCAAGAATTTCTTCAAAACTCCGCGCAATTTCAAGCATCAATGATAATTCTAATAAATCAGTGATTAAAAGCGCGTTTAAGAACCTGGAAACAGAAAGGTTGTAATTGCATACATTGAGAAAAAAGCAACTCGTACAGGGTGAACAAGAAACATTTACCCAAAAGGCAGTGACTTGTTTTCGTAAGTGAAGAAACAAAAAAAAGTCCAAACTATACATCAGAGAGGATTGTCACATTGTCAGTCTTTTAGCTTTTACTTCATTCATTAAACTTAATTGCAATGGTTTTTGTATGTGTGTGCACTTTGTATGCTGCATTAAAATATTGAGAAATATTATTATTTCAACAATAATGTTACTTCTGTCTAGAGAACATTTTATTGCAATATTAGCAAATATTTCCGTTCCACTCTGTATAATATATACTTTTGATGCAGAATGTTCATAAATGCCTGTGTTCACTCTGGAATTTAAACGTAATGTATCGCCTGATAAATTCGTCATCTTTGTTTCAGTTATTTCGTTTTTTCATTATCAACGTTATTTAATTTGTAGTTAATATTCACTTATAAATTTTAGATAAATAGAACAATATTGTCACTTTTTCAAATTGTAAATGAAAATCGAAACAAACTGCTCATGTAATTACCAACGCAGAGAAAATTAAAATATTTTCTCATTTTGTTCAATTCAGTGAATTTTTGAGTGTAAACCACCGTTTTAAATTTGTCATTTTCCGGAATTTTTACAATTTTTGATACATTTTTTTTAAGGTGCAAATTCATCAAAACAAGGTTTCATTTTTACAACGTACAACTAGGAATAGTGTTTTTATTACTTACTAATTGTCTCTCTTTTATTACCTGCAGAAATTGTCTATAACCTAAAGCCAGAAGTTTACAATTTTAAAGTTTGAACCAAAGTCTCCAAATTATGTTTTTAGTTGGCTACTCTGACTCTGCAAGTGCTATGTAAACTATTAAAAACTTAACACCATGATCAGGCTTTTTTTAAATCCTTGTGTAGTATCGTCGTTGATTCTAGAACACCTGCTACGTGCACTTTTACGTGGACTGTTTTTTTATTTTTACCTCCTGTAAGCTAATTTCTTGCTCTACAGGATGTTTATACGCAATTTGTTTTTGCACATAAAAGATTTTTCACAATCAACGACGATATAGTTTCCAAGTTAATACTACTGTTCAAAACGTTTAAGGATTTTGGCAATTGGAAACAAATAAATTGTAAAAAAGCCTGAATATTTATTACACATACTACTTTGCCAAAACTTCATATGAAAACAGTTAAGACCACACACACACAAAAAGTTGATAAATAAATTACGAAAGTCACCTCGATGATGTTGTCCTGCGGCTGCTTCTAGGCCTCCCTAAATCATTGGCATCATCTAGAAGCAACTGAAGTTCATACAATTCAATTTCTGGGTCAACCAAATCCTCAGGAGTACAATCGTTACAAAACCATGATCCTATTGGAATATCTGCAAGAGGGGGATTTAGACATTCCAAGTGGAACCCCAAATCGCATCCATCACACAAAAGCATTCTATCCTCTCTATCGCTTGAACCGCAGATTTCACAAAAAGTGGGATCTTCAAGAATATCAACCTCATTCTGAGGATTTGGTGGTTGAACTTGAACTTCGCGATAAATACTGCCATTTAAATTCCGTCTAACTAATATCATGTGATATTCCTGTCTGTCTACAGGACAAGTATTCATGTTTTTGGACCATTCCTGAATACAATCAACGCAAAACATGTGGTCGCATGATTCAGGTGTGCCAATTTCCTGATTAGTGAAGGAGATAAGACAAATTGGACACTTTTCAGATTGGCCGTCACTGGAGTCCGAATCAACTCCTGTGTCCTGTACTTTGGCAGTGGGTGCTTCTGGAGTTTCCACATCAGACACGTCTGTCTCCCATTGGCTGCTAGAACTTCCTTCAAAGCCATGGTCTGAATCCTCAGAACTCGTTGAATCGCTAACAACCCTGACTGGCCTTTTAGGACGCTGGATTATCACTGATCCTGAACTGTCTGATTCAGGGTCACTTGTTACTCTCTGAAAACAACTTTTTTCAGAAAACATTAATTTATTGCAGCATTTACATACAGGAATGACTTTTCTTTTAGGGCGGACCTCGATTGAACTTTCGCTGTCGGAATCTGATGTGTCTTCTACATATCTTCGTCTGATGCCTTTTCTTGAAGTTGTCACTATTGAACTACTTGCAGAACTACTTGGACTGCTATGACTGTCATTTAAACAACAAATATTCCTTTTCCGTTTATTTCGAGGTTCGAAATCACTATCATCACTCATTTTTTAAATCCAAGTTACAATAATTCATAATAAGATAATAGTTATGTAGCGACCGATGGTTTATAGTTTGATTTACTTACAGATTTTCCGGAAATAAACTTATTTATTGATTTACTTAGACGAAAATCAGTTTAAACAGTTTTTACTCATAACAAACAAGATTTCTAATGACAGTTTTCTACTGAAAATGCAAAAATTCGTAGCATCATCGTAGCCATTAACGACGTAGCACCTATTCGTAGCACTTGTTCTAAGTGAAGTTAGCAGCAAATATAAAATAATTCTTAGAAAATTAAAATATACAGTTATCACATGTGATTACATGAAGTTAAGGTCATTTTCACATGTGATTTATTATTTTTAATTATAATTTACTACAATTTAATACTTTCATTTTCATTTACCAATTTATTCCAACTTCAAGTCGGATTCAAATTGACAAATGAGTGACATTTTGCGTAGCAAACCTTTTGATTTTCGTAGCAAGTAAAAGGTGTTTAATTTTCCACAATTTTCTCAAGATGGGTCGTATGCACGCTCCTGGGTAATAATTTTTTGCTTTTTATTTTTGAGAATTTTTGTCTGATATTTTAATTATTATTTACAGGAAGGGTATTGCCCAGTCGGCTTTACCCTACAGACGTAGTGTCCCCACATGGTTAAAAGTAACTCCTGATGAAGTCAAAGATTACATCTTCAAACTTGGCAAGAAAGGTTTAACCCCTTCGCAAATAGGTAACACTCCTTGTCGGCAGATTGTTTGGAACTAAACGATTTTTTTCACTAGGTGTTACACTTAGGGATTCTCATGGAGTTGCTCAGGTTAGGTTTGTAACAGGAAACAAGATTTTGCGAATCATGAAAGCTATGGGCCTTGCACCTGATTTACCTGAAGATTTATATTATTTGATTAAAAAAGCCGTTGCTATTCGTAAACATTTGGAACGTAATCGTAAAGATAAAGACAGCAAGTTCAGGTTGATCTTGGTTGAATCAAGGATACATCGACTTGCAAGATATTACAAGACAAAGAATGTTTTGGCCCCCAACTGGAAGTACGAGTCTAGTACAGCCTCAGCGTTAGTAGCTTAATTTTAAGACATGTTTTATACTAATTAAATGAGACCAGATGCATATCTGGTCTGAATTTTCTATTGATATTATTTTATTACTTTTAAAAATAAAAATTAACCCTTTCAAGACAGATTTAAATAACAACTTTATATTTTTCGAGATACCGCCAAAAAAAACAACGTAAGGAGTCAAAAAATTATATTATATTATAAATAATACCTACCAAGCAGTAAAGTAATTTGAAGAAATAACTGTTGATTATATTCGACAACAATGAAGGCAAATTCTAGTATTATAATTATTATGTGTATTTTTTTCATTTTATTTGTCTCATTCGAATAAATAAAAGTTACGTTGGATGGGGTAAAAAATAATTAAAAAATTTGATTTCTTTTTTCTTGTTTAATATTTAGGTAAAAAAACTCAATCATTATATGATAATTGTACATTTTTCCATTTTTCTACCAATTTGGACACTCCTTTCTTCTTCATAGCTATTCCCTGTGCCAATTTCACCTACAAAAGTAAGATAATTATACATAAGAAACATTACAATTATTATAAGCGATTACTTTGTTTTTTTTCTTTTTCTTCATCGGTTCTTGTACACTATCCACAGTTGATTCAGGTTTTGGTTCTTCGGTAACACTAGAAACCGGTGGTGAAGTACTGGTTTCAATTGCAGCAATATCTGAATAAAACGAGTTTAAAACATCGGTCATATCGTTTCTTTTAGTATCTCTTGTTTTTGTTGTGACGTCAGACGTGTCGACACCTGGAGGAAATGGTTCTCCATTGCTGGCATATCTTTCACCAGAGACATCTTTTTTTGGTTCAGGAGGAAGAGGAATATCTTGGAAAAATAATCATAATAACATTCCCAATTTCCGTATTTTTACTCACCACATTTCTTTTTTTTACTGGACTTGCAGTCGCTAATGCTGGGGGCAGGCGGAGGACTTGGACTACCGATGATTGGTGGCAATGGGGGCGACATATGTATTGTTGGTTCTGTTGGAGGAGGTGTTGTACAAATGTCCATGGCCTCATCACACACCGTAACGTCGGCTTGGGGGTATTCCCACTGACTCTCCCCCGTGGACGCATTTTGATAATAATAGCGCTTATGACTCCTAAAACATCACCAAAACGACCTCACAGAACACAATTTTGACTTTACGTCAAGTGATTTTAGGCGCGGAAAAATGATAAATTAAGATTCATCAAGTTAACACAAATTGATGAATCTTTTGTGGAAAGAGTTTTCTTCCTATTTTACTTTTCACTTTTCTGCATATACTATACCTGCTACACTCAAAACAGTTATTATTACACACTAATTTAAGTTTATAGATTTAAGATAAACAAATCCGGCTTCGATTTCGGCAACAACCCCACAGGAATCACACCAGTCTCCAACACCCTACGCATACAAAAAAAGATTAATACAATTGCAAAAATGTTCATTAATAAAACTATATAAATGGACAGGAGAGTTCATTTCATTGAATCCACTCGTTAAAATGTTACAAATGATTTAAAAAATGAAATGTGAGATATGGACGAAACAAAATGAACTCAGGTTTATGTTCAAATTAGGTGAAAATAAATTTACGAACCTGATTTGATTTAAAACTACATTCAAAAAATGCTTCAACCGTCATGTTAAATACGATTGGAATGACTGCATCTCCAATTTTATTTCAACAAAACTAGTTCTAGCTCGTTTTTAGTCAATTCAATTACTTTTTCAATTAGTTGTGTTTCGAAAATGAAAATCAAAATAATTCTTACCTGAAATAATCGGCAACATCTCGATGTTGGCTGCGAGGAAAAACAAAAGAAAAAAACGGAGCTAAGGTGAGAAGGATGGTCACAGGATAAGAAAACGCGGGCAAAAACTGAGACTATAAATAAAAAATTGCACGCTTCGTACCTATCCCACTGAAGAAGCCAACCTTCTGGAGTTGCTTCTTTTTCAAGTTTGATGAGTTCTGAGCATTTTTCATCCAGCCATTGTTTTAAATAGGTCTGTTTTAAATTTCCCGACTTCAGGGCAATGTACAGAGTCTAAAAAACTCAAAATTCAAAACAAATGAACACACAATTTACAATTTCAAACCTCAAGTTGAATAAGCATCGCTTGAACGGGGGAAACCTCTTCTCGACCCTCACTCAAAAATCCTAGCTTTTCTTTTAGTGTCGTATACGTTTCCTCTATTGGCACAACATCTTCCGGTTTTTCTTCAATACTCGTTGGGTTTAAAACATCAGCTTTCACAAACATAACACCCCCGCTTTTAAATCCAGTATACGGACTGCTTGAATTATCACCACTATTGCTGTCGTTGGAGAATCCCAGCCCTTTTCGTTCGTTATCATCATCAATTACTGCTTTTTTCCCGGCGTTTATCAAAGCTACTCCAATTCGCCGTTTACGTTGAAAAGCTTTTGAATCAAAACCTTCATCTCCTTCAGTTCCTTTCGGTGATTCAGCGAAATCTTTAACATCAATTGGTTTAGTAGCAGGAAAAAGGGTGCTATGAGAAATTTTCTTTTCTTGAGGAGGTGGTCCTATTAGAAAATTTGGCCTGCTTGATTCATCTTGTTCCTCATCGGAATCACTATAACCCGCCACAAGGGAAAATCCGGAAATTTCTTTGTTTTCGGGTTTTTTCGCTACAACTGTAGACTTGTATTTATTGTCACTTTCACAAACTTGTAATTGCGATGATTTTAGTTTTGCAACCTCGTCGTCATCCTCTGAACCAAGACTCGGCTTTGATCCATTTATCTTCAAATAAATTATATGTTGTAAGTTAGATATACACCAATATTCTTTTTTTTTGCCTCAGAGACTGCGAATCCTCTACTTAAATTAAAGGAGAATTCTAGCAGTAATTCATCAATGGCAACAAGATTTTAAATCAGATTGAAAACTTGTTGATCATGTACAGCAGTTTTGCTGCATCTGTCATTAAAATCATCATAAAACTTTTAATTCTTCATTAAAAATTAATAAATTGTGTAGAAAAATAATTTTATCACACATAAATATGAAAACACAACTTCATTCTCATAAAAAGGATTTGATAAATGTAATTAGCTTTAAATACTGTAATAAATTAATAACAGTTTGTCCTTACCAATTTATTTTTACTCGTGTCTTCTTTTTCTTCCTCTGAGTCACTATCACCACTATAAGACGAGATGAGAACAATTTTTCTGGAAGAAAAACTTAAATTAATAACGTTAAGATTTACTCATTATCTGAATCACTAGGTTTTCTAAGAGGTTTTCTCTTTACAGTCGTTAATAACGTTAAGACTTACTCATCATCTGAATCACTAGATTTTCTAAGAGGTTTTCTCTTTACAGTCTTTTTCTCTTCTTTAGGCTTAGGTTTTTCCCCTTTAGCCGCTTTATCGCTTCTTGTACTACTTCCAGGAATAGTACCTGCACATTCTCCGATTTTATAAATTTTTATCGCGTCTGATACAGGCGGTAACAGATTATGTGTACTAGGAAACAAAGGAGCAGTTCTTGGAGGGATATACAAGTTGGAAGTTTTTTTAGTTTTAGTTTTGTTCAGTGACTTGTATTCTGGAGGCATATCCCAAGTTACTTCATTTGTTTTAATGTTCCAATAATAATGGTAACCGCTCTCTTCATCATAACACTTTTCCCAAACTATAACGAATCACAGAAATTCTAACATTCATCAAAACGACAAAATTAAGATTCTCACCATATTCCTCCTTGTTTTCGTTAAGTGGGGCTATTTCGTCAATTTCGTTAAGAAAATCATTCACTCTTGCATCCATTTTCTCTCCTATTTTTAAAATATTCTTTAATATCTACAGCATACAAGTTTTTAATAGGTTAGATTCATCTGACTCTGACATGAGTGACGTATGGCCTATGCGTTTGGCGATAATTTTAGGCGCCAAATTTTTTTTTTTTTTTTTTAATCGTGGAGAAAATACATACAGGGACAAAATTGTAAAAATGTGAGTTTGATGTTATTCTCTCACTGGTGTGGCATAACCAAATTCGCCCCCACGTTTTATCATAAGATGACATTAAATCCACACATGTCCAACTGCCTGAAGATGATTACGGCCGTTGTCGAAACGTAGCCCTGAAATAAACTAGTATATTTCTTTAAATACCCTTTATTACACAAAATACTACAAGTAAGTAGTAATGTCCTATCTGCCTGTAATTTTTATGTTTGTCTTGTCATCATCCTCATTTAAATAAAGCACTTATTTTTTTATTCCGTTTCTCTCTCTTATAGACATGTCACTATTATAAACAAAAGTATGTTTTTATTAAAATTTGAAATGCTGAAAAAATAGAAATAGAAGAATAGAAATCATGTCAATTTGCCTAAATAAACGGATATCATTTAGAGCACTTTTTTTAATTTATTTATTTATTCTACAAAGTACATGAGTAAAATAAAAATTAAACTCCAATAAAAAAAGGTCCTAACAACACGCAATAACTGCGAAACCCATTTTCCTTTCCTGACTTATAATTACATAGATCTGTAGAACAAAGGATAAAAGATTTTTGTTTTTTTCCTTTGAGCGAAACTTTTATGCTACAATCTTTTAACAGCCCCCATCTTTAAAGATTAATTAAAATTTAGGAACACACAAGCAAGTACCTAAAAGTTGTATCACCTTTATCTTTCAAAATTAAAAGAAAGAGCACTTGTAACTAGTGGCCTTACATATTGTTTGTCCAGAACACAAGAGACAGCCCAAAACTTATACAACAGTTAAAAATAATAAAATAAATAGATATCTACGAAATTGTGTTTAATTTCAAATATTTTCACAATTGTAACAGAAGACTATATTAAGTGATAACACTTGATATAAATACCAATGCTCATCCAATGAGCCTCAATCTGTTAATGTTTTTGACCTTGTTAATATCTCGTCACAAACTACATACTACAAATACTATCAATCTGATTTCAAAATGTATACGATAGAAACGGTAACAGAAGGGTATACCTTAGGCGAAGGCCCTCATTGGGATACATCGACCCAAAGCCTTTATTTTGTTGATATTTTTGGGAAACTTATCGTAAAATATACCCCAGCAACGAAGAAAGTTGCAAAAGTAACAGTTGGTAAGTTTCCAAAGTCGTCACTAATTCGTAAATTTAGTTTTTTTTTATTATCAGCACCGAAAACCGCTTCATTTGTAATCCCTGTCCAAGGAAAAAAAGACCAATTTGTAATTTCACTAAATAACGAATTAGTCATTATCTCTTGGGATGGTGGGAGTGATAAAATAGGAATCGTGGAAAACTTAGCCACTATTGATAATAATTTCAATGATGCTAAATGTGATCCCAAAGGCCGATTGTGGGCCGGTAGCCAAACTCTGGATGAAAATGATTTTATGAAAAGTGAACCTTTGGGCCATTTATATTCCCTGGATTCTAACAAACAATTTAAAAAATGTTTGGACAAAATACGAATTGCAAACGGATTGGCTTTTAACGAAAAGTTGAAAAAAATGTATTACATCGACTCTTTGATAGGGACGATAGATCAATTTGATTTCGACGTGAACACTGGGAAAATATGTAAAGATTAAATTGTCGTCAGAGAATTTAATTTTTTTTTTTTTTGTAGCCAATAGAAAAGTTCTATTCACGTTGAAAAAAAACAATGTACCGGGTATTGCCGATGGTATGACTATAGACACCGATGGTAATCTATGGGTGGCAATTTTCGGCGGTAGCCGAGTGCTAAAAATCGATGGTAATAACAGTGAAACTTTGTTAGAAACCATAAATATGCCTGCGGAACAGGTATTTTCATAACTTGAAAAAAAAAATCAAATTTAATGTCGAATTTAGGTAACTTCTGTAACTTTCGGGGGCCCTAAATTAGACGAATTGTTTGTTACAACAGCACGGTTTGAGACCGGAGAGAAGAAATTGCCAGCGCCCATCAATGGTGCTACTTACAGAATCACAGGGACCGGAGCAAGAGGACACCCTGGAGTCAGCTTTAAACTGAATTAATGTTTATAACTTGACGCATTTGGCCTACGTCCTTGAAATGATTGATGAATTTGATTATAGGACCCGGTTAATTAGGATAGAAATAAAAAACTTTTCGCGACATTTCGACACTTTGTGTCTTCTTCTGGCGAGAAATTTTTGTCGTTTTGTTGTCGTGTGAACTCTTCTTTAGAAGTGTTTAGATTTAATTGTGTAAGCACTGTGTGTTTTGTTGCTCTGAACACATTTTAAAAATGTCATGTAAGATAAGATACCAGGAACATTGAAAAAATGTTTAATTTCGAAGTTATGAGAGTTTAAATTTTGCATCTTGACTCTAATTATAAAAACATAATAAAAGTTTTTTTGCCACAGAAGAAAACAAGAATAAATGTCAAATTTTTTTAACAGATAGAATTTTTTAAACCTTTTTTCCTTGAAATTTTTCTGAGGCGCGAGTTCTGGCACACCTGTATTTATAGTTTTTAAATATAAAAATAAATCAACATTTCTCATTACTTAAACTATGCCACATATAAATATAACTTTTCTGTCTGTACAGTACAACCTAGCAATTGTGTTTTATGAGGTAAAATAGTAAAACTAAGAATTTAGTTTTCTTTTGACAAATCTAAAGCCAAATAGTTCCACTATTTCACACATAAAGGAAGATGTAAAAAATAACAAAATTTTTATAGAAATATAATTTGATATAATTAAAAAAAAAACATGGCAACACTGCAAATGCATTTTTGAAAATATAGATGAGTCACAAAGTTTCATTCTGTATTTTTTTTTTTTTTAATAAATCATCAGTGTAAAGATTTTATATCTGCTAGACAATTGACTTTTTGTGATTGCATTTAACTTTAAAAATTATTTTAAGCACAATAAAAAGAAAAGAGAAAATCAACGTAAAAAACAATAGTATACAAAAATATTTTTGACACCTCATTAATTTAACAAAGTTTGATTCATAGATAACTGCAATTTGTTACCTTCTAGCGTAAATCGTGTTAAAAAATAAAAAAGAGTATACTAAGCCATTTGCAAACTTGGCATTGTTTAATCTTCAATTCAATATTGTCCCTAGAAGCTGAAATCGTTATCTAATGCTCCAAAGGTGCTCTTACAAATATTGTAGAATGATTTTTCTAGTTGTATTCATTATTTTATTGTAAGTTGTAATTTGTTGTTTAACCGTATTATTAATTAATTTATATTTAAATAATTATTGCAAAAAAAATTATAAACAGTTTTACTCAACACAGGGCCAATTTTCTTCTTTAATGTTCCAAACTGTAACGTTGAAAGAAGCTTCTCTCCCTCGACTGCGTTAATGTCGCTGTAAGCAGATTTTAGTCTTCTTGGTGTTGGATATTTGTCAACAATTGCAAGTGCTTTCTCCACTGACATTCCCTTGATTTTTATAAGCTGCTTTATAAACATTTCTTTTACTTTGAAATGCTACAAAAAATTAATTAAAATAATGATAACATTAGGCACCAAATTTATTACCCTTGTTTTAGAAGAACTTATGTTGAAATGTTGAAAATGCATCAATTGTATTAGGTCATCGTCAAATTGGAATTCTTGTATATCATCCTTTTGGCAACCAACCAAAGTTTTTGGCTAAAAAAACAGCTATAAAATACCATACAGATGAATAATGATAAATTACTAAAAACCTTAAATAACTTTTCAAATAACTTTGTTAAACAAGATAAATATCCACATGATGCTTTTGTGTCATTTGTAAATCTCACAGTAAAGTTATCTTGAACTAAAGTATTGGTAGCTGCTTGATATAAAGTGGTTAATGGAAGGCCAACATGTTCGTTTTTTCCATAACTTTCAATCAAATAAATTAAGTTGGGAATACCACATTGTTTCAACCTGAATTTTTGTTCATGAAATCTAACATCTTTGATACTGTGACTTAAATCATCCATTCTTTTCCTTTCGACAATGTACGGTAGAATCAATTCATGGTTGGATATCGAATCGCGACAAATCCATGCGTAATCTCCCACTTTTAAATTTTTGACCTCAAATCTAATATTCAATTTTTTTAATTCAATAATAATCGGATTACATTCCAGATCTCCATTACTCCTACACGAAAAAATGTTTTAAAAACAACATAAAAAATATCGCACACCTACCCGTTAAGTTCCTGAGTATCAACCAAAAGAATAATTTCAAAAGAATTTGGAGCTAATATAACAGTCTCATTACTTGTACTACTTTGGCAGGGTGTTGAAAAATTTTCTTGGTCAAGTGTTTCCTTATTGTAAATTAAGCCTGAGCTAGAAGGTATAGACAAAGTATTGTCCTGATTTTGGAACTCTCCAATTTTCTTTTGAACAAATAATTTATCGGCTAAAGCTGACCCTTCTTCAGTCAAACTAAACTTGGCTGGATTTCCTTGCTTCACAACTAATTTTTTCTCCAACAAGGTCTTCATTGAGGACCAACCTGTGTATCTTGTATCAGGTCCAGCTTTTGTAAATGAAACATTGCACAAATGTTGACCATATTTTATAACATCAGCCTTTGTCAAGTATCCCTGATAGTTAGATTCAAGACTTTTCTCATACAATGTCAACAAGATAGCAAAAGCTCCTGAACCAGGTAGTGGAATATACTCTTTTGGTTTACTTCTTTTAGGACTAGTCACTTTGGATTTCTTAGGAACAGCAGGCTCAATTTTATTAACGTTAATTTCTTCGTTAGTTGCTTTGAATTGCATCAATTTGTTATCCAACATTTTGCACAATTTTTCACCAAAACCCTTCAATATTTTGCAGTCTTTTCCGGTTTCTAACGGCAAAGGATAATTTTTTAATGATTTCAAAGCAATGGAAAAGCAGTGTTGCATTTTTGAATCATTTTCCTTTGCTTTGTCTCTCCACTCGGTTAACCATCGTTCAAAAAGTGGATTTGGGTGTTTAGATCTCATTGTTACCCTTTTCACTACCCTTTTACTCATTTTCAAACGTTTCAAAAGTGTTATTGTTTACAATTTTATTTGAACTACTTTCTAAAACCATAGAACTACCTAACACATTATATATAACCTACCAAGAAAAGTGTAGAAATTGTTTACAGGCAAGAGTAAAAAGTCACAAACAAGCATAAGTTGGAAACTCATTTAAAAGAAAAATAGAAATTGATTTATATCCTATATCAAAATTGTTATTCGAGCTACCAAGAGAATACATAACCTGTAAAACACTGTAAAATCACTCAGAGTGACCTTTGTACTCGCATTTTAATATTTTTTTTGTTTTGAAGAAAAATAGTTTTGAAGTCTGCTCAGGCATTTATTATTTTTCCTATTAACATACAAGTATCTTTGTGAGATAATAAAGATCACAAACCTTAAAATAACAAACACTTCTCTGTATGTAATTTACAGTCTTACAAAATGAGAATTTACTAATCACTCATTTGGCGACACCCACTAAGGCAGGCCTTATTACTCGATCATGTAATTTGTATCCAATTTTAGAAACAACCACAACAGTACCCGACTCTTTGCCTTCAACTTCCTAAAATAGTGATTTAGAAAAAATAAAGCAGCAAATTGAAAGCAAACCTGTTGAAACAAAGCTTCATGATAGTTTGGATTGAATTTTTCATTTAGAGGGTTGACAGACTCTAAACCATGCCTCTTAAAGACTGATTGGAGTTGGGCTTCAGTCATTATAAGTCCTTCATATAGACTTTTCAGGTGCGGGTTATTATCGTTGATTTCTTCTTTGGGTACAGTTTCAGTTGCTTTGCCTAAAACGTCTGCCACATCCAACAAATCTTTACAAAAACCCTGAATTCCAAACAATTTTGCTTCAGCAATTTGTTTAGTTAGTCGGTTTCTTAAATTTTCTCCATCAGCTAAGGCTCGTTTGTATTTATCCTACAATAACGAAAACTTTTAGCAAGTGCAAACAAATTACACAACACTTACTAAGATATCGTTATTTTTTTCCGTTAGTTCAGCGATGTTTTTATTTAATTTTTCAATGTCTTCTACTGTCGGCTGTTGTGTGGGTGGAGGTGTATTTTCTGTACTGCTCTGTGACACTTGTTCCTGTTTTGCTTGCCCTTCGGGGGCATTATTCATCCGCATGTTCATAAGTGTGATTGATCTACTGTTGATTATCACGTTTTCATTAAATATTTTACCACACTTTAAGAGGCCCCGGATTCCTACGAGCGACATTTTTCCAAATTAAGACACTTTTTTACGAAATTTTCTCTTAAATTCGGATCTCTTTCTGAAGAGGTTAGTTTACAACGTCAGTCGCCACTTATGGTCGCCACTACTGCCAATCAAACGACAATGAACTTTGACAACTGACTATCAGAAAAGTTGTGCAATCATTTAAAATCAAAAAGATTGTATAATTTCGCATGCAATATTAATTATGTAATTAAAACTGCTCAATAAAACACTTCTTAGAATATCGCAGAGCGTAGCTTTTTGATTCAGATGGCCTTGTTCTTATTCTATGGTTAGTATCATCTATTGGCGGCTGAATTTCTCCTGTAGCGGAAAATTTGAATCGTTACCACAGAGTTAACAAGTTCTACCACTGCCCTCTATACTTTCTTTTTGTGTTACTGGTTGCCTTCCATTTTACAATAGAAACCTTATGCCATGCTTAGAGGTAAACAAAAATAATTACTTAACCATCATAGCTAATTAATGAGAAAAAGTTTCATTTTGATTAATTTGCCGCTATTGCCCAATGTTTCAAAATTCCATGGGTGGGATATGTGACCACATTCCAGTGAAAACTGAACTTTGCTCTCTGATTGCCTGATTCCGTCCTTCTAGTAGTATGATTCAACATCTTCTTGTGTTGTGATTAACCTCAAACTGTGTTTGTTTTGCATAGAAATGGGTAACGGATCTTCAACTGCTTCTATTTGGACGCAGACTTACAATGAAATAAAGAGTAAACATGATGCAGCTTATGTTGTTATCCAAAATGCAATTACTTTGGAAGAACAGGAAAAGCCTCTTGAGGTAGATATTACTCAAATGAGTAACCCTTTTCCTAAACATATGTTTGTAGGCTTTAGAGAAATATAAAGAAGGAATACAGCTGATTGATAGCGCTCTTAGAGTTCAAATAACATGTCCAGAAAATCCAGATTTCACTTGGGAAAAGACCGTTTTAATGATCCAGAAGATGAAAAAAACTAGAGGAGAAGTGTTATCTAGGTTAACATGCATCCAAAAGTCACGTGAAGAAATTGAATCAAGAGAACAACCTCCGTCATATGAGGAGGCTATTGCAAGCACACCTACTGAAACGCCTCAAACCTACAATGACTTGGCAAACGCTTTAAATCGAATGACAGTTGATACAGATATGACAATGGAAGCAGAAGTTATGTTCATGTATGAAAATGTTAAACTTTACTTTATTTCGCCCAATGGAGAAGTCTCATCTACACTCACGCCACAAACTTTGAAAATCACACTTGTTGAAAGTAACAACTATCTAATTTGATGTTTTTTGGTCTAATTGTTGTTTTTAGATGATGAAGGAGAAAACGTTCCTAGAGCTATTCTACAAATTGGTGATTGGGTTTATCCCCTCATTCCGGGGGTTTCCCCTTGTTTTAGATCTGATTATGGTGCATTTATCTTGCCTAATATTTATGCAGAAACACCTGGTACTTTACAATTAAGTGAATCGATTATTTTTCTAATTTTATGTTTAAGGGTCCTCAATTGGAATTATTCTACCCCCAGACGCAGATGCCGACGCTTATGATATTCTTGAAAGTATTCTTTATGGTATTGTTGGTGAGGGTAAACCCCCTCAGACACAAGAGCCACCTGAAGACTTGAGTGAGAAGATTTCAAGTGGAATCGTCACAGGTACACTAAAAAAATTGAAAGGATTGAAACTATCTTATGTCTCAAAGGGGCGTCATATGTGTCTCGCGGTCTCGTTTTTGGGGCAGAAAAAATTGGAACTTTACTCAATCAAGGTACTCCAAAACTTCTCTCTCGTATCAACAGTGCTGAACAGCCTACTCAAATCCCTAGAAAAGTTAGCAAAGGCATGCAAGTGGCCGAAACTGCAACTAACAAGGCTGCGCAAGTTACGGGATATGTTGGTAGGTTTTAATTTTTTTTTTTGTTCTAATTATTCATTTGTGGATATTATAGCGGAACAGGTTGGTCAAGCAACGATGAAACTCGGCCATTTTCTTGCACCTCACATCCAAAAACAAGGTACAAGATTGCTAACTTCAGGTTTTCGTATGTCTGAAACGGAGGCTTCTGCTAAAATGAACGGAGTGATGACAGTGGCTGCAGGCGCTGTTGAAGGATTTTCAACTGTTTACTTGGGTTTAGAAAATTCAGCTTCGATTTTGGGAAAAAGTTTGAAGGAAAATACTGTTAAAGTGGTTCAACATAAGTATGAGACAGAGTTTTTGATTAGCAAAAATTAATTGGATGATGGTTTTAGGTATGGACATCCCGCTGGAGAATTTGCAGGAGATACGTTGAATACAGTTGGAAATGTGTATCACATCAGCAAAAATGCGAAAATAATTCAGCCCAAACATTTAGCAAAAAGGACAGTTAAGGACGCTGGAAAAGCGATGGTCTATCAATATAAAAGCAATCGTAACGATGGGGCCAGTACTTCTAATTATTATTCGCAGAATAAGTTTGATCATAACAAAATTGAAAAGTATGATAAAAATTAATTTCATATTAAGGTGATTGTAATTAATTATATTAAAGTATTAAGGTATATTATATTGTGATATATTTTTGGAAATAGTTGTAAAAATAAATATGTTTTCTTTGAGCTACTCTGTATAACAAATTCTGGTGCCAACTCCCTTCCACTTACATAATACAACAAAAATCCCCAACTAGGAAATTTATTATTTTTTGACAACTGTCAAAAGTCTAAAAATTTGAAATTATTGTGTGATTTGTAACAACGTCCTCCACTTTAGCAATAATTAATATTTTTAGCATGATTTATGATCTTAAATGGAGTTTATTTATCGAAATTTCAATACGAGTTGTTTTGTGGTGCATATTCTTGTATGTATAGTAGTTCCTCGTATATTTTGATAGCCCCTTATTTTTGTAGATGGATTGAACACACGGAACCTTTTATTCGCGAAATTTCAGAAGGCGAAGTATGGAAATACAAATATCCTGTCACACCCAGCTACGTCACACCCACTGCATTATGGATGACAATAACATTCATTCCGTTAATATTTTTCACAACTGAGTATTTTTTAACAAAAAAGTCAGACGAAACCGCACTTGCGGGGCTAGCAGTGACACTAGCCTATTGTTTAAATGGGTTTATCACAACATATTTGAAAATTATTGTTGGCAGACCCAGGCCAGATTTTTATTACCGGTGCTTCCCTGATGGTAAAGGTACAGATTACAGAAACTGTAATGGGATTAGGAAAAGTTACATGGATGGTAGAAAGAGCTTTCCTAGTGGACACTCCTCATTTTCATTTACTTGTATGGTGTTCATGAGTCTATACATTACAAGAAAATTTAATTTATATCAAGGGAATATTAAAGGACAATCCTGGCAACTTTGTATTTGCATAGTACCATTAATCATTGCCGCTACAATTGCTGTTAGTAGAACATGTGATTATCACCACCACTATGAAGGTTATCAGCAAAAACTAATTTACGATTTTGTTATAAATTAATTTGTTTCAGATATTATAGCAGGAGGCTTAATAGGGACTGTGGTGTCTTACTTATGTTTTAAACTGTATTTTCCAAAAAGTATTACTAGTGTAGATTAGTAATTTATTTATTATTTTAATTAGTTAGACACACTGTACTTAATGTTTATAATATTGTCAATTCCACCCTCAATAATGTCACCTGGGTAAACAGGACCCATTCCTGGTGGGGACCCCGTGATTATTAAATCATTATTTTCTAATGTGATATATTGTGATATGAAAGAAATTAATTTTGGTATGGAGAAAATTAAATCATTTGTGTTTCCATTTTGCCTAAGTTCCCCATTAACTTTACACCAAAGATTTAAGTTATTGTGAGGATCCTCAATCGCACTCTTTGGTATAAATCTACTAACAGGACATGCGGTATCAAAACCTTTCCCCAGAGTCCAAGAACCACCCTTACTTCTGGCTTCTTTCTAAAATCTGGTAAATCACAATTGAATAAATAAAATTTAAATGATTTAGACCATGCGACAAGTGGCCGTCATATCGAGAGCAACACAGTAGCCACCAACATGATTCATTGCTTGACTTTCTGTAATAAATTTTCCATTTTTACCGATAATCACACCCAATTCGACTTCTTCATTGACGGAAAAACCTTGAGGTATCTAAAATTTGTTAGTATTTCCTTAAGTGGAGCGACTTACTATTATTTTCTGCTTTTCGGTAATGTAAGAAGTTGTGGGTTTTAGAAAAATATTAGGGGTTTCTGGAATCGGTTTTTGGAGTATTTTTACCAACGACCTGAAATTTTAGTTTTGTAACTTTTTCAAGAATGTGCCAGTCTTTACTTATAATTTGCAGCTACACCGATGATTTTTTTACCATTTTGAACAAAATTCTCAAGTTGCGTCATTTTTGGCAAAAATCTTACGTAAGTGTGTCTGATTCAAACTTGGCGCTTTAGCGAGACAGGGTTTTTGGTTTTATCCCTAGACTCATTGCCAGAATGGTAAGCTATTTTTTTGCCCATTCTACAAGTGAAATGGGCTTGTAAGCTTTGGTTGTTTGTTCCTTTATATTGTTCAGTTATTGTGGCAGCAAAGCGAAATTGTAATTAGTCTCTCTAGTGTTTTACGATTGTTTTATTACTTTTAAGTGAAATAATGTGGCAGTGATAGTAAAAATTGCGACAGTGAGGTGTACACGATTCGCTTCATCGATGATGATGGAAACAGACAAAATCGACGATTCGAACAGTAATTCACAAGTAAGTCCTCGCCGGTGTTTATTTTGTCCTCGCGACCGGTTTGAATCTCCAAAAAATCGCATTAGAAGCTCGTGGTAATGATTTCATCTCGGGCCGAAACGTCACTCAATGACACAAATTTCTCTCGGATGCTAACCTCCGTTTTTTGGAATATATTCGTTAGCGATTGCATCTGAGTGAGTTTTTGTTGTTAGCAAAGACCGTTATTTGCGCCTATTTGTTTGATCGTGACATGACATGCCGCTGAACGAAACGAGGAATTACTCTTTGTCGATGCTAAGATGGGGGTACTTGACCTGTCGTCGGCTGACTCATAATGGCACTAATATCGCTCAAGAATCATTTCATCGTCTGGATTTAGGGCAGAGTATCGTCCTGAGCATGAAGCATACTTAACGGTATTTGTTGCACTAATTCAACCTCAAAGAAAGTTTTCGTTTCTTTTGTGTATTTGCGAAAAGTAAAATCTTGAATTAATGAACAGATCATCGAATAATGACGACTTTCTCTTCTCGTTTCCAAGCGTTGAATTTACAAAACGCGATGAACTAACTGACTCGTGAGGAACATTTTGTGCTGTGATAATGCAAGACCATTCTTCTCGAAAGGTAATTGCAATTTATTATTGTGTATTATGCAGAGGTACTTGCCATATAAGTACATTTAAACTACCTTTCTTATCAAGGAAATGACTAAGCGAGGACAGCAGCTTTTTTATAAATACTTTCATAATCTTCAGTGATAACGTTTTTGACAAAGTGGCTCAAACCGAGAATTCTATAGGATAACACCAGTTTGTAGGTTGGAACAAGTATCTTAATTATTACGCCTAAACTAAACAAGTTTCAGTTAGTAGGCTCAAATAATGAAAATGTTAGCATTGTAAAATTAACGTCTTTGTGACTGGTTTTTAGGTTTTTGCAAAAACACAAATTAAACCTAAAATTAAACAATGAGTCATTACGAAACTCTTGTATACAATTGTAAGTATTATGAATTTTCAGTAGTTATAATTAAAAATTACAATAGAAAAAAATGCAATGTGCCTTAGTTATTATTCATTAAAAGATAATAATTTTTTTCCAAATTCTAAGATAAATTTACTTTTACAATTTTTTTTGGTAACGTCATCTTACAACAATGCATATTCTGATATTCAGGATAACATTGTAAAGTTCAATTGCTTTGATTAAGTACGAGGTCATCTGTCTTTATTATTTTTCTTTGGTTTGTTGAATATTTTAATGTGACGGAAGGTGTTCATTAATGACACTGCAAAACAAGAGTATTATTTTTCATATTTTTTTATTTTCCACGTGTTAAAATTATAATAAACAATTATAAAATGTTATTGTTTATTTATACACAAGTTATCGTGTGTTAATTATATTTGGCATTGTTTATAAAAGGATATCGATAATTTATTTTTTAAGTATGCTGAGTATTATGTTTTCTACTGGGTGATTTTAATAGTTATGCTAAAATTTTAAGACATGATAGTCAAAATAGGTCAACTTGCCTTTTCCGAATTTTCCTAATTACCGAGATATTATTGAGGGTTTTTGTCGCCAAATAAATTTCAGTTTGGCACGCAGCCTTAAACTTTACCAGGAAAAATTGTTAATAAATATATCTATTACATTGTTTTAAAACATCAAGTTGAAATTAAGAATAGCTACTGAAAAAATGGCCTCATTAAGAAAATAATAATAATAAAAGAATAATAAAACGTAGATACCATGGAGTTTCATTAACTAAAATGTCACACTATTAAATGTTAGCTTTGGAATGAATAAAATACCCAAAAATGCAAACTTCGTTTATATTGCATTCTTTTGAAAAATTTTCCAACGCTAAAATTCAGGTTGCATCGTCTACATCTCAGAAACTTCAAATTTGTACATTAAATACATGTAACTTTCCTAGCGCAAACTATTTGATTTTTTTTTAACTTTTGAGACAATTTAAATTTAAAATTGATTGGACCAAAAAATAGCATAAGCGCAAGGGCGAGCGTTATCCATTATTTATTATTCGTAACAATCAATTGTATTAATAAAAGAAAAATTAAGTTTGTTACAAAAAATATTGTATAAAGTTCAATGTCATCGCGTGAATAAAGCACTCGCTCTTTCGTTGCTCGTACCTCCAATAATGCGTTTATGCGCGAAAAATGTCTTCTAGAATTTGGTTCGTAAATGACTATTAGCAAACAATATACACTTTTGTTATTGTTGAAATGATTTATCGTTAGATAAATTTTATCGGTTTCCTGATTGCAACAGGAACACCAATCACATCAGCGCAGTAACTATCGAAACGACAAAAATTTATCTAATGATAAAAATCGTTCCGCAAACTGGGCATTAATAAATTAAAGCACTAAAACTGCAATTAAGTACGTACATACTCTACAGGGTGTTTTGTTTTTTTGTTACAAATTCAAATAGATCATAGAATTTTCAATTTTAAGACAAAACTTTCCTATAAACATGTTTCGAAAAATGCTATGTAAGGGAGTTACACGCTTTAAAAGGGGTGCGTTTTTTAAAGGAGTTTTTGCAATATTTCAGAATAGACAAAACTTGGTACAGAATTCCAAGATGAAATGTCGAAATTTTTAATCAGGGGCGTCCTAAACGGTAAAACGAATTTAATTTTTAATTTTATGCTGTTTATGGTCTATAACATAAATTTTAAAACTGATTTTACTCAAAATCGGTAAAACGCAAAAGACCTTTTTATGAAAAACTACGAAATTTATACAGGATGTTTACGGCCTTAATGTTGAAATTTAAATAAGTTGATATTCATGGTAGAAGAAAACTAACACGCAACAAAAAATTATGTTGTAAGGAAATAATTCATTTTATATTATTTGTTTGAGAACTGCTACTTCAGCTGCAACAGTGGCCATGAGTATCATTACCTTGTGTTTCGCCGTAAATCACGACAATCAATTTATTATTTTAATATTTGCGATCCATGTCCATAAATTTGGAAGAAAATTAAGAAAAACGAACCAAACCTATTGAAAACCAGTTCTTGTCTCGGTTACAGTATTTCTGTACTCTTTCTATTACTAAGCCAATTTTCAACTCCAAGACCGTAAACACCCTGTAATTTTGTTGCTGAAAGTGGCAAGAGACTACAGCTAAAATAGTTAACCTAAACCCACCCAGTTTAGGAAGCACCAAATTAAAAATTTCAATATTTTATCTTTGAATTCGTTTAGGTGTAATAAGGTTGTCATCTGTACCAAATTTTTTAATTTTATCTAAAAATGGTTTCGAAAATATTGGAAAAAGACCCATTTAGTACTATACATATTAAGCATGAAGAACGGTAAGGACATTTTACTGATCGAAGACATTTGTTTGAAGGAGGGACGACTTCAAGTATTGTCTGAGATCGGTAAGTCTTTAACGTTTGTGATGCTTATGACATTTTTTGCGCGATTGATTTTTTTTTGTTTTTTTAATAAAATATCAACAAGAAATAACAAATGTTCTAGAACGCCAAAAGATATCACGGAATAAACAAAATACTCCAGACGAGTTTGGGATAGCAACGAGTAAATGCAACTTACTGTCTTGGAAAGAGACGTAGTAAACAATCGAATAGAGTCTAATCGCACAAAAAATTTTTGAAACGTATAAAACCATGCAAATTGGCTTTTATAATATCAGTTGTAAAATAATTCGCTGTGTTTATAGTATTTTTTATGCAAGTAAGCTTTTGTTATCCCATAAAAACATTTTCTAAAGACTGTTTATAATACGCTCTATTAGTGTGACGTCAACAAGGTACGTGACTTTACCTTTGAAGCTAAACAAATAAAAGTTTATTTCTTGAATCCTGGACGTGTAGGGAGATTGTTTCTAAGGAAATAGTTGCTATGAAAAATGTGTGTCGTTTCGTAATGGTTTTAACAATTGTAGTCAACATTTCTGTAATTTAATCTGTTCTAACCTCACTTTCTGTGTACGTCAAAAATATGTGTACAGCATTGCCAGAATGTTGCAAACGACAGGAGTGGATAGGTCGTACCAAAACAAAATAAAATAAAAAAATACTAACATTCACATAATGTTTATTTGGCTGAGAATATAAATTATTATTTGTTTACAAGTAAATATAAATATCTAGTAAAAAAAATCTAGTATCAATTTGGTACTCTAGTATCACAACTGGCAACACTGTATGTTTAGCTTCAGTACAGTCGCGTCTGTGACGTCACCTCTAATAGCCCGTATTAATTTCACCACAAACCATCTTGCGATCAATCCTCGTAAGCTTTAAAACTTCAAGTAATAAAATTCTATTATTAAAAATGGTAGAAATTTAGATCTTGATCTATGCACGTTTGAACGGTGAATATTAAAGCTGCTTAAGCTCGGTTTAAGAAAAAAAAAGTAGTCGACTCTTCAACCATTAAAAAAGCGTGTATAACTTCTTTCATAATTCAAGATCTGTTATTAATAATAGTGAAATGTCATAAAGTGCACCGACAACAATCCAAGCTCCAACCTTTCACGAGCTCTTTCCACGCATCTGTCGATATGGTCGTGCTTTGTCCTTTATTATTCAGTAACCGCCAAGTAGCTGGTGCTTCCAAATAATTAATTTTGCTGCTTCATTGTCACCAGCAAGGTTTATCAAACATTGCCAATTAGTGGAAGTAACAAATAAGGTGCGAAACAACATTTAGGACCTTCTTGGCTAGCGGATCGGTCCTTGATTCGTTTCTCTCGTTGTAGAATGCGGACATGTTTCGTTTGACTCACCCAAAGCAACAACTTATTATAATTGGTGAACGTTGAACGATAAGCTGCTTTTCTCAGATTAGGGTTCTCATAAGATAAATTTATATTAAATACATTTGCAATACTACTAAAATTATAAAATAATCTTCTATTAAAAACAACAGTAAAGTAAACCCCTTGTGCATTATAATTGAAAATAAATTGCTTTTGGATCAGGCTCGTGGAAAGTTGATGAGGAATGTGTAGGTGGGAATTTTATTCTGGATTAAACGAATAAATTGGAAGTTGTAAAAGACGATTGTTGTTAATGTCTAATTCGCTGAAATGAATAATTGGATTAGAAATTTATAATGGTGCACGTATGAAAATTTAATTAGCTAATAACTAGTTTCGTACTGTCTATATGAATGTTATATATTTGTTAAAGGATTACACATTGTTTGTTAATTGAGATGGAGTAATAACTTTGTATTAGTGTTGAGTGCATAACTTTGTCATTGACAAATAGTAAAATCGTAGTGTTGCTCAACTTCAAGAAAATCTTTGTTACAATCCTTTCAAAGGTTTGGCCGTGGAAACAGTGCCTTTTTTTTCTAAATACATATTTTGAATTAATTTTAAACGAAGGTTATACCAGGTTGCATTCTTGTTTATGGTATGAAGAATACAAGCGACCTTAAATTATTGTTTGGAAATATTAAAAAAATTACGTACCTACTTGAACAGTTGGTAGAGTGCAAGATGTAAATCTTATTAATTTTTATTTAACAAATAAAAAACTAATAAAAATTCTAGGAAGAGCTTCTTGCTAAGTTTATGTAGTGAATGAAATAATTTTGAAATAAGGAATTTGGTTGGCAAAGCGAAAAATTAAAATTTCTTGCACTCTGTCTTTGAGTGCAACTCGTAAAAAATTCATTTCAAACCTTACAGTGAATTGAATCGTAACTAATCGATTTTTCCGTAAATAATCCTTGAACAAGATGTAAGAAAATACTCGGTTCATGACAAGCAATTTATTCCGGTGATGGTAAATTAAATGTAAATTAATTATTGTTGTCACAACCAAAAAATTTTAAAATTACGTTTTCTAGACAGCTTTAATTAATTGACGTCATTAAGAGCTACAATTAAAGATAGAAAACGTTGTGGTTTCTCTATTTCATTAAATTTGGCGATATTTTTGCAAACATTTTATGGTCGATTAATTAGAGTTTTTGTATTGATATTAGATCGCGATTAGACAACAAAAAAAATTCATTTCATGGAACCGTCCTCGGAAACTCGTCTTGTCTCCTAGCATTCATTCTAGTTCAAGTGTACCGTGTATGTTAATTTCGTCCTGAATGTCGAGCGTGCTTTATTTATGAGATTATTCTTATGTTGAGGAAAAAAGAGAGTCACCAGATGAACAGTACATCTAAGATCGACTCGATTTTGTATCAGAAGTAAATCAGCGATTTGTGTAAGCACAAGGCGTTCAACTTTCTACAATTTACATTTAATTGTTGTCTTTATCATTTTTTCGTCGACAGTTATCTTTTATGTTTATGTTCAGTTTTATGTTGTTCTCAGACGGGTTCATTAGGTGCATAAAAATAGCGACAAACGGTAGTTGTTTGTAGTTTCCTTTATCTAACATGTTGATGATATTACATACTATAACCGCTTTGCTTTAATCAAAGTTTGACTAAATTTAGCTCGTATCACTTATCGGAACATAGCGGTAATTTTGTTTGCAGATATGTGTCTTATAGTAATAGTTTTGTTTTTGTTTTCAGCAATATCCAATGACAATTTTATCACCGTACGATACGGCCAGGAAGAAAGAACCATCGGCCACTTTTAACGCGGAGAGAGAAACATGTCTGAAATGCTTCGAAAAATGGAGCGAAACCGACCAAGTCGAATTCGTAGAAAATTTACTAGCTAGGATGTGTCATTACCAACACGGACACATCAATTCCTATTTGAAACCTATGCTTCAACGAGATTTTATATCTCTTTTACCAAGTAAGCTGCCAAAAACTACTCCAAAGTATTGTAAAAAAAAAATATAAAAAATGCAAATTTCTTATTTGAGTCTGTTCAATCATAAAAGATTAGTAGGTGTTATAATTATGGTTTTTAATCAAAGTTTAATTGAAAATGTTTTCAGAGCAAGGATTGGACCACGTCGCTGAGAATATATTGTCATATTTGGAAGCTGATAGTTTACGGAACGCCGAATTGGTGTGCAAAGAATGGTTTAGGGTAATCTCAGAGGGTATGCTTTGGAAGAAGCTAATCGAGCGAAAAGTTCGAACGGATTCATTATGGAGAGGCTTAGCCGAACGCAGACAATGGTATTTAATAAAAGCCAAATTATTAAGTGTCTAAGTAAAAAACTTTCAGGATACAATATTTATTCAAACCACGACCTGGTGAAAACCATCGTCCTCATTCGTTTTATCGAGCCCTTTTCCCGAAAATCATCCGCGATATAGAAAGCATAGAAAGTAATTGGCGAAACGGTAGACACATCTTGCAACGAATCAACTGTCGATCTGAAAACAGCAAAGGAGTTTATTGTTTGCAATACGACGATCAGAAAATCGTGTCGGGTCTCAGGGACAATACAATTAAAATATGGGACAGAAGTACATTGCAGTGCACTAAAGTTCTCATAGGACATACGGGATCGGTTTTGTGTTTACAATACGACGATAAAGTTATTATTAGTGGTTCTAGTGATTCGACTGTGCGCGTCTGGAACGTTAACACGGGAGAAATGGTCAATACGCTCATCCATCATTGTGAAGCCGTCCTTCATCTTAGATTCAATAACGGAATGATGGTCACCTGTTCAAAAGTAAGTCGAAATGAAGCATTCAAACTTCATTAGTGATTTGTGCAAAAAAAAACAAGTGAAAACCGTCAATTTTAATCGTAATTAAGCGTCAATTAAAGTACCGTTAGAAACTTGGTCTTAAATTTTTTTATAGAATAAATATATGTCAGACTTTTCAGTGAAGTGATACACAATCGTAAATTCTCATTGTTTGAACTTGAATACAATTCTGTCAGATTAAAAACAGAGAATATATTTCCCGTTATCGTTATTTCCACGAATTAAAATGGATTTATCATGGATATGATAATTTATTTTGGGGTCACAATTGTGAATGAGTTATTAACATAAAAAAAGAAAGCACTCTAATTTAGTTTTATTGCAACGAGTTAAATTTATATAACTAGACCAAGAATTTATTTTATGGTGCACTAGCTTTAATTGGACATTTAATTAAAAATTTCACACTTCCTGTTTGGGTTTAATTTTTAACAAAAACGAAAGTAAATGCATTGTATGAAATTCAATTTTGTTTTTATAAATCATTGGCAATTAGTTTAAGTATTTCTACCAGACCATTGCATTTGAAAATTACTTTCAAGTTCTTCCCAATTAGGCTAAAACCTTGAGCTATTATTAGTTACTTTTTTACTAAAAGTAACGTTTGAATCCTATTATTGGTGTGATAAAGTTTGTTGACAAAAGCCGGTAGGTTGAACATATTTAATCCTAAAAAATGGACGAGCTTTAAAAGGTTAATGTTTTTCATTAAATTAAAATTGTCTTTTTGTAATTATTTTATTTGGTTTATTTTTTTAATCCAGAACTTCTGAAAATAAAAAAAATGTTATGCTGTTTAATAAAAATTCTTTCAATGACAGTTTTTTTTTTCTAAAATTGATCTTATTATACGGTAGAATAGGGTAAAAGCCAATAGTACACACCTGGGTAGAGCTTAATTGCGCGCAAGCATAAGTGGGGACGCGGACCAGTGGCGTCCTGTCTCAAATATTGCGATAATAAAGCGATTCCACACGAGCCTGCTTCCGAAAACTCCCCTCTTTTTTAAAGTGTACTGGTCCGAGCCGCCTTTAGTCATCTACGCATACACGCCCAGTTGTGTACTTTTGGATATTTACGAAGTGATCCAGAAACAGATTTGAAAGTATTTTTGTTAATAATTTGAAACACTGTAATCGGATACGGTTTTGCTTGACAAATGACGTACAGTTACGGAATTAAAATTTCGGGCAGTTTTTTTTCTGTCACATCAAAAAGTTCCACTGTAAACTACCTTTTACTGTCATCATGACTGAAATTTGACAATTAAACTTGACAAGAGTAATCAATGAGATTATTAATGTAAAGGTTGTTTTAGAGTTTACATTGTGAAAATGACAATACTGCCCGAAATTTTAATTCCGCAACTGTAGAACCCCTCAATATTGTTGAATTGTTGTTAATCAAAAGCACAGTCCAATAGTAAGCTTTAAAATTATAGTCAGGGTTGCCTACAGACTAATTCATTGTGGATCACTTTGTACTAGAAAATTACATCGTATACTCTTTTAAACATAACTTGATATGAATTTTGGACATAAAAGAAGATAGTAAAAACTATATTAAAGAAAATTAAGGTGTGAGAATGTTGAGAATGTGTTTTTTAGTCTTTCAATAAGGAAGTCTTACTGTTACTTGTGTCAATTAAATTAATGCAATATTAATAACTCGTTTGTTTTTTCAGGATCGGTCGATAGCTGTGTGGGACATGACATCCCCGAACGAAATCACCCTTCGTCGGGTGTTGGTGGGGCATAGAGCCGCCGTAAACGTGGTCGATTTCGACGAAAAATACATAGTTTCGGCATCGGGTGATCGAACGATAAAAGTGTGGAACACCTCAACTTGTGAGTTTATACGAACGTTAAACGGACATAAACGAGGCATCGCCTGTTTGCAATATAGAGATAGGTTGGTCGTAAGCGGAAGTTCGGACAATACTATAAGGTAAACATTGCGGTTGTCTACATACGCGATAAAGAAACCACAAAACACGATCGATTTCCAGGTTGTGGGATATCGAAGGCGGTTCTTGTCTGCGGGTGCTTGAAGGGCATGAAGAACTAGTGCGTTGTATTCGTTTCGACTCGAAACGAATTGTCAGCGGGGCTTATGATGGAAAAATTAAAGTTTGGGATCTCGTCGCGGCGCTTGATCCCAGAACGCCGGCCAGTGCTTTATGTCTTCGAACATTGGTAGTAAGTTAATAGTACAGTCATTAAATTCATCTAATGTCATAACGCAGCGCTTCACAATTCATTTATTAGATTTAACAAAATGCTAGTTTCTTAACAACGATCGTTTGCAGGTAATCTGTTTATGCTTGTCCATCTAATGGGCCCATTTAGTCATTTTTTTACAAAAATTTACTCTTAAGTGACCTTTTGACATTTTGAAATGCGTAACGTTTTGGATGCTCATTACTTATTAAAGATTAATGGAAAAAGTCATTATTGGACTAATTTTTAATTTTCTTAATAACGCATCAGTATTCAAATTATTTAAAAATAGAAAAACACATCTTTAAAGAGAAGCAGGATAGTGATGTCACCAGAGCTGTTTTATTTTGATTATGAAATTTTTATTTTATTCAAAACTACTTGCTAAAGTTAATTCTTTTGCAGCTTGCGGTAAGTAGACATGACATAATTTTTACGTTTAATCATCGTGACTGTTTTTCAACTCTGGACTCGTATGTTCATAGAAGGTGCTAAATGAGCCTATTACGTGTTCATATCATACAAGGTTTTAAATGATTTTTTGACTGATTGCATTCATGAAAAGTTTCGATGGGTGTAAAAAACATTTCCAGGTGTCTAAATATTTCTATTTCTTATTTTCAGGAACACACAGGTAGAGTGTTCAGGTTGCAGTTTGACGAATTTCAAATAGTGAGCAGTTCACACGACGATACTATTCTTATTTGGAATTTCCTTAATTCAATTGGAGATAGAAATACGAAATCGCCTTCTCCGTCTCGTATGTAATTTGTGTTATTGTTGATTTTTTTTCTAAGTGTTTTTCTTTCAGCATTTGAATGAATTGTCCAGAAGCCGCTTTCTTCATCATGTGTGTGTGTAAAGAAACAATTTTGGGGCAAGTGCTCGTGTCAATCAGTTGACGCATAAACTGACTAGGAATATAAAAATTTAGAAAATTATTTGTAATAATTGTGTATAATGTTATACTTAAATTGGATATATTTATGTCTTAATTTATAATATGAAAGAGCGTATTTGACATAATTGGAGTTAGTTTTTTATGTGTTTTGTCTTTTCGGAACATTTTTCGCTGTTGTTTCCTAGACCGAATTAAGAACGTTTATCTCATAGATGTCGACACAAAACCTCTGTTGATCTGTTATAATTTAAATGAGTTTAATTATGAATTATGTGATAGTACGTTTAAAACATCTAAGAGTACGATTTTTTATGCGTGTACGCCATTTTATCTATATACTTGATGGATCATTAGTTAATTGTTGACGTTATGCAAAGTTTGTTTTAATTCCGTTGTCGTTGAATTTTGCAAAAATGAACAACTAATTTTAGCTCTCTAGTCTATGAAATTTCAATGATAGAACTCTATAGACTCTACACGATTTAGGAATCAGGTTGTTTTTAATAATTTTTACACTGTAGTGGTGCAGATTCTATCTACAGTTTGTTGGGCAAAAAACTGAGCTTCTAGTCTAATTATTTTTTGCAAACTTAGAGAGAGCGTTTAGGCAGTAAAAAATTGTACAGTACATTTAAATTGATTTATAGGATTTTGGGGTGATTTCAGTGATGATTAATTTTAGTTTAGGATTAAACTTTCATCGTTTTCATCGATCTATTTATTTTAAGGGTTTTCTCCCTATTTTTTTATGGGAAAATTATTGCAACCAAAAGTATTTTATATTTGGTGCATTAATTTAATGAGGCTGCGAGTGTACTGGGATTCCAAGAAGTGGCCACGGGCTGTTCTTGCTAATTTATTTTAGACGATTCTGCCAAAATGTAGTATTTCTCCTAGATTAGATTTACAATAATACTTGTAACGGCTTTTGTGATAAAATCTTACAGAAAAATTTGTATGTCTGTTTTGTACTATATCTGGAATGTACACAATTTCATGTTTAAAACAACCTACATTATCAATAAGAGGCACTTAAATCATTTTATAGATTAATGTAAATACTATGAATGTAGTGGTAACATCATTTGCATTTACTATTTTTATTTAGAGTTATTTATATTTTATGCGTGTAATACATTTTGCTGAGACAACATCTAGTTTTATTTATTAATTAACAGAAAAACAGTTATCCCAAAAAATTTATTAAATAAAAACATACAGTCTTAATTGAAGCAAAGCTTAGTTGGTAGTTTTTAACATAAAATTAATCTGCAAATAATGCAAGACGTCTTTACTAAGCGGAACATCGCCAAAATATTCCCCAAAATTCAAACAAATTTTAAATAAACTATGTTTCACGGCTGCAGTGATTGCATTTTTCATCCGGTAATTGAAATCGTCCAAAGCTGCGACTTTTCTTGACAAAGATGGAACTTTATTCAATTTGTCTAAATTTTGTTTCAACTGAACTAAAGTTGATATAATCACTGGTAAATCCTTCTGAACTATGCCATATTTATCCTCAACCAATGAAACAGCCGTCAATTCGGAAATTCCCTGACTTGACCAAATTATCAACTGTCCATTCCCTAAACACTTCTGTATGTTGACTTGAGGCAACTCCCCGAACAGGAAATTAATCCCAAATAAAATCTTCACAAAAGAAACGACTTTCTGAACACTTTCATCAATATTCTCCTTGAACGATTTAACTGTATTTGAGGATCCATTATGCGTGACATTTACAACATCCAAAAACTCGCCACTCATTGACAAATTTCTTAAATTCCTGAATTTAAGTCTTGGATCAGTTTGTGGTGATTGTACCAAAAATGGAAAGATGGTTTCAGTTTGCTTCTTCGGTTTTTCTTGCGTCGGGTGTTCTGTAGATTTCTTCAAAAGGTTGGTGTAATCCGTAAATAGTTTTAAAACACTTTCAGTCAAGGAGTTCCAATTGTGGGGATGCCCTCCAGGTTGAGACAAAGTGAAAAGTAATTGTCGCCGCATTGGGGACCATTGAGACAATAAAAATAAATCCAAACATGCCAGGTTCTGAATTATTGGAAGATTATCCATATTTATGGCTTCTTGTAGCGTCAAAATGTAAATATTTTCCTTAACAATCGGAAATTGTACAGGTTCAGTGAGAAATAAATGGAAAAAGAATCGCATCAAATTGTTACTAAAGCAATATAAGGTTGAAAACCACCACAAATAAACATAAATTAAAATGCTGCTCTCTCGGGAAGCTCTGTCTAAATTAACAAAAGCCATGAAACGACTTTCTAATTCATTGCCCCATAAGTAATAAAATACAGCAAAATAAAAAGTGGGCCAAACGGCCGTTGCCACACTTTGTTTAAATAACACGGAAATGTTTGATCGAAATTGAAGAAACTTCCGTTGTTGGATAACAGGAAACACTAATTGCTTGGTCGAAATATACACTTTTGTGAAGAAATAAAAACCGGTCCAAAAACCCCCAATTATTAAGAAAAAAACGTCTTCAACTAAACAACTACGATTCTCGTCACATTTGATCGTTAGAGATTGATTACTACTTTCGATGACGGAAAGAATTTGCCAAACAAATGCGCCTCCTGTTACAACATGAAGTAGAAGAAGGATAAAATTGTGAACTGAAAATATGCGACAAATTTGCTGAAATCGAGTTGAACAATACGAAGTCATCAGAACATAATCTTTGGCACATATCAAACACTGTGCAAATATTATCAACGAAAAAATAATAACAAAAATCCATGTGCTCAAGTGTGTGAAGGTGTTAAGTATTGAGCTTGTCCATTCCACTGGGGACAAAATATTGATATTGGCGACTGTTATATAAACTAAAAGTATAACGATTTGGGAAACTACACTACAAGCCACAGCACGGGCTAATTTCTTTACGAGGATGTCTTTGTAGCTGAAGGTTTGTGGAGTTGTTAGGTTAGGATTTATTGTCGCCGGTTGCATGGCTCGTACCTGCAATTTGTTACGTGTTAATTGTATTTAAAATGAATAAGAGTTTTATAAAAATAATTACCTCTGATTGTTTATTAAATAAAACGAATATAAACTACTTTTAAAGTAAAAAAACGGTGAAATTTTAAATTGACAGTTAACAACAAATGACGTACAGGCGCACCAACTAAATTTCGCGGGTAAAAAATGTCCCTAGGTAAAAAAATTCATACGGCTTCAGCGGTAAAGTACCCCATTTAGTATCCATTGTGGTTTTCATTCAATGCAAAATTTCGGTTGAAGAAATTCTACAATAACATTATAACTTTTTACAAAAAATACTAAATTTTACAAACCATTGAGAGACTTTTGTTTTGGTTGAAAATAATCCTATTTAAATTTCTTGTTTCTGTCTTATCCAACGGTTGTTGCATATTTAATATATATTGAAAATAATTGTCTTTAAAAGTAGTTCTACTGGTTTCCAGTGCTACAAAAAGAACGATTATTTTTAACATTTTTGTAAAAATGTTTACTTTTGAATAATGTTTCATCAGTTTTTAATAGCTTCTTATCAATTAAATATTCAGTAAGTGATTCTTGAACACTGTCTTGATAAACACAAACAATATCCCCATACATGTTAAACTCGTCTTCTCTTTTTACTTGAAAAAATATTTTTTCTGCTGACTCAAGACAATCATTAGCAACTCTTTGGACACCTTCTATGTCATTAGTTGTAGTTTTGAATTGGAATTCATATCCACTATCTCCGAGAACTAAATCCTACCATTAAAATTTTTCAATTAATAATTAATTAATCCATAAATTATTTTCTAATTTTACCGTCATTAAATTAACGACATTTTCTAGACTAGCTTGTTTGGCAATATGTGGACAGTCTTCTAATTCTTTAGGTAAAAGGTAAATATTCGTTACAATTCTCATAGTCCCGTAATCTGGAAGCCAACATTTGTATTTAAAATCACTTCCAAAATCTTTCTCTATGTCTTGAACTATTCCTCTTGCCCACACTTCTTCAATATTAACAGCCACAATCTACAACAAAATAACTTGCAATTTTGAATTAAAAAAAAAGTCACACCTGATCATCTGCAAGTTCGCCTGGACTCTTAACTTTTGCACATCGACTGCTTTTCATTACTTTATTCATTGCTGCTCGTAAAAGCAGGTCTTTCTTGTAAATTATCCAAAATAAGTGCGCGTTAACGAACGTTGGAACGACTACTTCATTAACTACATCCATATCGTACAATTCCAAAACAAAATTGTTTAATAAATTTGAAAATATCTTAGGTTAGGTTACAATTCAAGTGTCACTAATCAAAATACAATATCACCAACCGAAAACTAAAAGAAAGTAAAATTATATACAGAGTGATTCAAAACCAAAAAAGGAAGAAATTTAAATAATGTTAAAAAAAGTTTTATTCATTTAGAATCAAGTGAATCGGTCTACAGGTCTATGGTTTAATATGTGTTATTTTTGTACTTTAATTCCGATATGTATAGCATAAATTATAATATACAAATCATATGGGGTGGTTCAATTTAAGTTAATAATAAATAAAGTAATAAATTAATTGAGTAAAACTAAAATATCGAAGTATGCCTAGATATTGCTTGTGTTTGATTATTTCGTAAGTGTGAGAAACACAACAGAGACTAAATAATTAAACCTACTTTAGTCTTATTACACAAATAAAAACATTTAACCTGATTAGTGAGACAATATCTGAGTATTTACTATAACTTATCAGCTACAATAGTCACAGATAATTTTTTATCAGGCCACGAGAATGTTTTTGGTAAAGAAAGGGCTTCTGGACTTGCCAGAACTTGAAAAGTAACCGCCATATCCTGAGCTAAACCATCAGTGATAAGGATTTGTAGCCATGAGCCTTGAGCAACATAAGGGTGTTCTGAGTCCACCAACGTCCCAGTAACTGTATTCGCCACTAGTGTTATAGCAGTTTCGCCCAACACCGACTTGAATGTGAAGTGTCTGCCATGTCGTACTCGTCCCCTTTTAAATAAAAGTATATAAATTTAAAAAATCCAACCAATAAAATCTTTTCACCTAATGGCCAGTGGAAGTAAGCTCCCAGCTTCTAAATTAAAAACCAAATGAACGCCTTCTAGTTTCTTAACGTGTAATAATTCCGTTGACTCTAGAACCCCTGAACTACCTCTAATTTCGTCCATTTTAAAATTGGTACTACTGGAACGGCTCTGTTCAAAGTTGCCACTCTGGAGCGGCTTTTGGCCCACAAGAGTAGAATCATCTTGAGTTGATTGGAAATTGTCACAGTCGGTTTTTTCTTTCAAATGCATGATATCAATGCGAGTTGGATCTTGCTCAACCCATGAACATCTAGCACTAACTCCGCTCAAATTTGAGCCTTCCAACTCAAACCCTCGCTCGACTTCTTCATGGGCGTTTAAGTCAAGCTCAAAGATGCTTTCTCCTCGTCTCATGTCCGTGATAAACCATAGCCCACCAGCGCTAGAAATTCATTTTTATTTTTATTGAAACTGATTGGTGTTGGACTTACGAGGGTACTCTACTAATCATATCAAGGACTCCCGCCCCATTCCACTGCTGCGCTGCTTTCAATTCCTCGGCACAAATCCCAACAATTTGGACAAAATCTACGGAACCAAAAGGAGTCTGTATTGATTTTAAATGGACATCGGTGGTCATCAGCATGTGTTGTATTCGCGATTCGCTGTTGTCTAATGCACAGTGCCAGGAGACATGGTCACCAGCACAGAGGGTATTACCTGAGGTGTACATAAATATTTAGCTCAGAAAATTAAAAAAATAAATAATGCAGACCTGATTGGAAAACATATTTAGCTAAAGACTGCATCAAAGTTGCCGGCCAGGTTGGTGGTGCTGTTTCTTCAGGTTCCCGTTTTAGCCTAAATGTTAGCTCAAAACCAAAACCCGAAACACCATCAGCACCTGACACGTCGTGTACTCGTCCGTCACCGTGTAGGTCCGATAGACCAAAACTACAATTTGTATTAATATTAAAAGTTTTAATTGATAAATTATCACCTTATGTAGTGCCAATGAGGAGGAATGTTTTCTTGTGGAATGCCTGGATTTGCATACATTGATATGTAATCTAAAGGATCTGGCCCTCCCAGCCTATAACAGAGCAAAAAAATTAATAAAAAACGCTTCCCCTGTTTCAAAATAAAAATAGGTGGAGTTCAACTCCCCTGTTTACATACAGGAAGTAGACTTGAATCTCGTACTATAAATAGAATTTGAGTCAAATTCTAACTTTTTATGATAATTTAACATAAGAATGATCAAAATATTTATATAAATGTAAAATGTAATAAAATGTAAATGCTTTATTATTATGTAATTATGACAAAAAAATTGTGAAAATCACTTGCCAATATTTGATGAGAGCCGTAACTTGCAGGGGGTTAACTTGGTCGGGGTAAATTTTCCTACATAGTGTGTACAAGGACTCTAATCCTGCTGGTGTCGGTGGTAAAATGTTCATTGGGGGTCCATGGGGCAGAGCAGCAGCTTCATTCATTGTTCTGTTTTGCACCGTAAATAACTCAAAACTTTAAAAACTAACATGTTTACTTACTAAAAATCCAGAAAAATTATTCTACTTGGCAAATTGTTTCCACTTTAAAACATTTTACACTTCCTTCCACACCAATAAAAGAAAATATTTCAAGAATGCAGGAACAACTTTTAGGCAACCCGCCAAACAAAACAAAAGTAGCCTGGCTCGGCAACATAGAGACGAAAAATTTCCCCAGTTGTCATTCGACAAGTGGGTGCAATGGGAAGTTTTTCATGTTGTCAGGTTGCTTGTCAAAGCGACAATTAAACTAACCTCCAATCCAGGCAGTCAAAACTTTTTATATTTCTCAATACTCGTTGCGAAATTATTATTGTTGAAACACTTGTTGTAATCTTCGCGGTCTTTCACAAAATAGCGTTAGTTTCCGTGATTGTGTAATGTAGGTGTTGAGTACGGCATCGATCGCCACAATGCTGGATTCTTCGCCTGAAGATGAAGATTTTCCTGGCCGGCTTTTACATCAGGTCTGTTACGTTATCCTAATCATGTATAACAATTTGATTGTATTTTTTAAGGCCGCATTATGGGACAACACACATTTACTCATGGATTTGTTAGAAGGGGGCCAACAAGCTTTCCTAAACTCGCAAGACAGTTGGGGGAGAACTCCTCTACATGCAGCAGCTATTAATGACAATTCCGGGTGTTTGTCAATCTTATTGAATGCAGGTGCAGATCCTAACATTCGTTGTGGCCCAAGAGGCGATCAAAAGGTTTGCATTTGCTTAATTTTATGCTTTTTATAGTAACATAACTGAACTTGTTTCAGATTCCTTTGCATTTAAGTGCAGAACATGGTCATAGTAGCAATGTCTCAGTATTACTGCAGCATGATTCAGATATTCAAATTTTGGATGCAAATGGAATGGCTGCTCTTGATTTAGCCGAAAAAGCAGGACATGTGAAATGTGTAACACTGTTGAAAGAAGCCGTGGGTGAGTAAATGATCAATACTGTTTTCTCAAATTATGTATAAATAGAATTGGCTCCCTAGTTTTAGGTTTCTTTTAAATTAATGATTTTCAATTGTAGTCTTTATAAGTCATTTTTAATAAAAATCGTTTTGTAACAAATATCAAGTTTCTTGAGAAGCTTTAATAGTATATTAAAATACGAGTTGGAGAGGACATCTATTCAAGCAGGAGTTTGAAATTCCCATACAAACCGCATGGCGGCGTGTTCTGTATTTTGCGCTTTTTGTGCTGTTTTTAAAGGAAAAAAGACAATTTTCAAATTTAGAGAATTTTGCGTCAGTTGGTGACACTTGAACTCGAACTGGTATTTACAGTAATTGTGTGTAATCTGGAAATGAATCCTCAAGTTTTTTTTGGATACTGGATATTCGGGAATTTGGTAAAAAAATTAAAAGCATTTTACTTTTAACGACATTGTCACTAACATTAAAAACATAAAATACTTCACACACTAAGGTGTTAACTCACTTTGAGAAGAGTTTGTTACATAATAGCGTTGTTAAAGAGGCAAAATAGAAAATAGTACATTAAAAAACAAGTTTCATAAGACCAGTCTTAAAGAATGAGTGATTCAAATAAGTTTTTTTTTATACTATTTTCAGTAATTTGTCTTCTTTATGCCGTTTTTAAACAAAAAAAATTACTTTAGTCGATTTAGAAATTGATGTGATGTTTGGTAGTCTTAATTTTAAAAGTCAAATTTGATATAGTCTATTAGAGAATAAAAATGGAGGAAAATTACAAAAAAGCATATGAAAAGTGCACCAAAAACCATTTAAATGGTGTCGAGAATTTGGTAATTAATTAGTTTGTTTTTCTAGAGAAGTATTTTATGTTTCTAAACTGTAGTTTTTCTTATATGTATAACTGAAAATTACCTAAATAACAAATTTTTTAAGTGCTTATTTTTATTTAATCCAGAATAGTACTATTTATTTATTTATTTGTTTTTATTAGTGTACAATTTTTTTACATTTCTTACGAAATTTTAAAATATTCAAAAATCTATTGATAATAGTAGATTACATACCGAGGTCAACGACTATCAATGTTTGTATACTAAATTATTTACAATCGTCCTCTTTAAAGAACAGAAAACCAATAAAGAGTTTATCAAATTTTGAAAAACATGACACATGAGAGTTCAGGAAGTGGCCATTTCCCAACCTGAACTGTTAAATAATAATGCTATTATATGCGTATCCAAACACACATAATACTACTCGCATATAATTGCTACTATTCACTCAGGTGATTAAAAAACTCGTCTACGACTCGTTTTTTAAACTTCACCTTTATGAATAATAGTTATCATTATGTGGTCGTTGAATAATATACTAGGTATAGCATATTTGAAAACCAGTTTTACAAATCTTGAACATTAATGTAAATAAAACTCCGAGTTTTTTTCTATTTAAACAATATTCAAAAAAAGAAGCTCCTCGAACTTTTTAAATTAATTTAAACAGATGTTATTTTGGCTGTCTCATGGACTGCAGTTACATAATTTTAATTTAGTTAAAGGATTCTTTATTGACGACATAGATTAAATTATGTTGTTTTAGTTTTGCATTAATAATGCACTTAACTCCAATGTACATAACATGCAACTAAAGTGCTATGAAATGCTATCGACATCGCGACGCTAATACGTAAAACGTATTATGTAAATCATTTATAAAAATACAACGCCCACTGCCAACAAGTTATGTGTTTACGAAATGTTGTTATCATTTTTCATTTCCTAGACATCTTCCGCTTTTTATATTATCCTCAAATGAGATTTTATTTTGACAAATTAAGGTTTCTGTGGTCTAAAATTAGCCAATGAAGCCATTCAATTATCTTTCCAAAAATGAGGGTATTTTATTTGTTTTGTTAATAGCGTTTTACTATCAAAAAAGTGTTTTTTATCAATATTATCGTCGCGAATCATTATAGTTGCTAAAGCGCGTTGAAATTGTTCAATATTTGTAGCATTAATGTTGCCGGAACAAAATCCAAATAACTGTTCGAATTGATAACCTTTCACCATCAATCCACAACAAAATTCTTTATCAAAAGCTTTTTCCCGAGAGTTGAACTTTGTAAAATGTCTCAATTCAGTGTCGCTCGGGCCGCGTACGTATATGCCTCCAACAGCCGAAATAATTAATAACACCGCGGACGGTAACCGTCGCGATAATTCAATGTATGTCGTAATGGCCAGATGCATTTTTACCGCCGTTTTAGTGCTAATCTTGACAATTTTAATCATTTTATTAATACATAGGAAGTTTAATTTCACGGGCTGGTTCAACACAGGAAATTAGCGGGCGACACTATTCATTCTCTAATCGTAAGTAATAGGAGAGTTTATTTTTCAATCCGGTTTACAACAACCGCAAAGATCCAATTGATTGGGGCGTAGATTTTGTTACACTGTTGCGTCCTTGTTACGGTTTGCAGTCTTATTGATTTTCGTACCAGCCACCCCTTAGAGCTTACACCAACAGCTGTTCGGAGGGGGTAAATGTGGTGACATGTGGATTGTTTTAATACATCCGTGAATTTTACTATTTTTTTTTATAAAAGTATTTTCATAATGGCGAGAAAAATTAAACGACACAACACATCTCCGGAATTAGCCTTCGACGCCTGTGATTACTTTACCGACGATTTGAGCAATTTTAACGTAGAATTAGGCACGAATCACTGATTATTTTTTTTCAATAATTAGCAAATTGTTTTAGATGCGAGAGAAAAAGCGAGACTTGATATTCATGCAGCGCTTAGGGATGCCTGCTGTCAAGGAGATGTGAACTCAGTTTCGTCACTTTTGGCTTCTTTATCCAAAGATGCCGAACTTATTGTTAATATGGCTCCGAGTGGAGCGAGTACTTTACTATTTACGTAAGTTATATTTGTTTTATACTACAGATAACAAGAGATAATATTACAGAGCTTGTCAGACGGGGTGCAAAGATATCGTTAAAGTACTACTAGATTATGGAGCTGATGGGCGGTACCACCCTGTTACGAAATATTCGCCGCTTTATATTGCCTGTCACTATGGACATAGAGATATTGTAGAAATGCTTCTCTTGCGATTTCCCGAACTCATACAGGTACTGTTTAAAGTCGTTAAAGAAAGTACTATCGAGTTACCAAGGACAATCAACTAGAATATCAAGTTCAAAATAAAAAATTGCATTGTTTATAATAATTTTTCCTGTGACCGTTTATTAACGAGCTTCATTAACGAGTACAAAATTATGCATTAATGCTGTGTCTTTATTAATAAACGATCTTAGTATAGGCAACCAAACATGCAAGGTATCCATGGTTACTGTAGATTAGACAACCAAATATACATTTTAAGCAATTTGATATTTGTCGACTTGATATTTGAAATTTATAATTTATGAAATTGAGATTTTCTAATTAACTAAAGTACTAAAGAGTAGGCGACGATTAATATTCTACAGTTGGCAACACTTTGGCTGGGAATCTGGGCTGGAAAATTTCCACACAAACTGAAAGTCAAAATGACCATTCACAGTTTTCGTCTTGTACAGTATTTTTGTAGTAACTTACAACAATAAAAATAGTCTGCTGTAAAGTGAACATTATTTCACTCAAAATGAATAAAATGCAAACTTGTCAAAGTTTGAAGTCAAAAATCAGGATTGCTATCTAAAGGATTTTAATCACCGTCTACTCTAATTTATTTATTTTTTTCGATCAGATGGTACAGTTGGAGACAAAATACTTTGGTCGCCAATGACATTAAATTGGAAAGCATGCTTTAGGACTGTTAACCTTATTTTTAGCTACTGTCAATCATAGTTGACAAGTTGTATGTACATATTTTTGATAGGAAAATACAATAGCTGTCATTAATTTGAAATTATCATTCATTTTAACGTTAAAGCTTGAGCTAATATGCTCGTCTCAGTCGAGACGCTAATATGTTCGAAAAGATAATAAAAATTTTATCGTCGTGTACAATATAAAATTTTATTCAATCCTCACTAATTTTGTAGCCAATTTGGTCGATATTTATAAATGTCAAAGTAAAATTCAACAATGAAATCTAATGTCAAAGATCGTTAGCAACTAACAACCGCACATATACAACAATGGATGTATTTTTTCTCATTTAGACGATAAAATTCCATTTTAACATGAAGAAAAGAGTAGATAAAATTCAATTTTAACGTAGAGGATTGAATAAAATTTATTGTTCGGCACTGGAATATGGTGTCACGTGAGACTATTTATTTATTTTTGTTATTATAAAAAATTTTGCGTGTTTTGTTGTATTGCAAAGCAAAACACTTGAATTAAAAACCAGTAATTTGTGGAAATATTTTATAAATAAATAAAACGGAAAAACATTTTTATAAAATCTTTTAGCAACACACTGTGGAGAGATGGCTGCCGATCCATGCAAGCGCCATCAATGGTCACGTGGACGTATTGGAACTGCTTTTCCACTTTCCATACCCTTCGCACGTTTTACGCAAATTTAGGTACATTTTCCGCGTTTTTTAAAATTTGTTTATTACAATAAATTTCAGAGATGGCAGCGAACAATGGGAATATTTTATGCCTTTTGACATTAATGAACGAGACGCCACTGGACAAAATATTTTATACATGGCTTGTTTAGTAGGAAATAAGAAACTTTTAGATGTGATATTAAAATTTAAAGTTAAAGCTACTAGAATACAACCTGATGACGAAGTGACGCCTGTTTCCGAAAACAATGTGATTTTAAGTCCCACCAAACGTCGTATTTCGGATGGAATTCAATCGATTTTGTCTAAATTAAATCTGTCGAGAGATAATTCAAGTGAAATTGATGTAATTCGTTTTAATTGTCTTTAATTGTTGTATTAATGTAAAATATTTAGGTTGATCCGAACAGTGCTATGATTTGCCCTTTACGAATCGATATGTATTGTAACAATAACACAGAAACGGCTCTGCACGCTGCTATTAAAGGCAAACATTACGATATAGCATTAGCATTACTGAATGCTGGAGCGAATTCAAATGCTGTGATCAAAGCCTACCATGACATGGAGGTGTAACATCAAAAATCTAAAAATTTCGTAAATTGACTATTGTATTTCAGAATTTAAGTTGTTGTTCCGTTGAGGAAGATTCTAATTACTGTCAATCGACCGGTTTAGTCGAAGCTTGCCGCAATCGTGATGTTCCTATAGTCGATCTCTTACTCAAATATGGCGCCCGAGATGACGAATGCAAAGCTCTATCAGTCGCCGTACAAAACAAAGACGAAACACTAACAGCCAAACTTTTATCTACGAAAGCTCATCCGGACCCAGAATACAAAATCAACAAAAAAGCAATGACCGAAAACGTGAACTCGTCACAATTTACAATTTTTTCAAATGTTACGAACTTGACATACAGCGCCCTCTTTCCCAACACCCCTACTATGATCAACTGGCACAACCAGAGATGCAACCTGACCCAAATACGCACCCAGTGGTTAACCGATGCCGCTTTACATCTCAACCAGAAGCTCAAACAAAATCCTCGAAGTTACGACATTGCTCTATATGCGATTACTCGGCTCGATGTCTCAAATAACAACCTAACATCGGTACCACTGGCTGTTTTTCAGTTATACAGTTTAAGATACCTAAATATCGGTCAAAATAAAATCGAAAAATTACCGACTCCGGTTGTCTCACCTACCAAGAAAGGTGTACGCAAGAAAACCGCTCATGAAGAATTGAATTACTCATGCCCTGTGTTGGAAGAATTATACTTGCAAGATAACAGGCTTGATCACATTCCGGAAGCTATATTTCGGTTACCCTCGTTGGTAACTCTTGTCGTGTCTAATAACAAGTTACAGCAACTTCCCTATAACATGTGGTTGGCCCCGAAATTGAAGGAGTTGAATGCTTCTTTTAACTTGCTTAAAGAGTTACCAACAAATATTTCGGAGGTGAGTCAGATGGTGTTTTTGATTCTTTCTCAAGTGACTTGTAGATGCAAGAAGAGTGTGATAAGATGAGTGTGAGTTCGAGCGACAGTCAATTGTCTAGTCACTGTGACCACGATTTGGAGAGCGAAGTTCGATGTGACTTTGACTTGGACTCGAAATATCTCTCAAGTGATGAAAACAGCCAATGTGTGAGATACAGGAAAAAAGAGCGCTCTTTTATGTAAGTTTTAATCTAATTACACAGAACGACAAAAAAAAAGTCATGTCGTGACAACTTGACAAATTTTATATCATATTGTTCGTCTCAGTGAGACGAATCAAATGCACTAAAAAAATTTCAAAAAGTCCACACACTTTGAACTAAATATTTTTTTCTAATTTAAATGAATTTAAAATACTTTAACATTAAAAAATCATTACTCAATAACTATTAGGCCGATTTTCTTCAAGTAAAGACCATTCTAAAGGGATGGACTTGCCCTTTAGAATGATATGCAATTTGAAATTGAATATTGGCAAACTTTTCTTCGAACAGTGTTCGAAGAAGTTCGAAGTAAATCGAAATAATCTAAGAAAAACCCTAGGAGTAATTTTTTTATCATTACCATCGTGTAGAGCATCTCTTTATTAGTTGTAATCCAAATTTTCAAAAGAATATACCGAGTAGTTTTCAAGATATGATTTTTTGAAGTTAAGGTTTGCTAATCAAGCATTGCTCCATATAGGAGAAATGCATGTTAATCTTACTTAAAATTGCATTTTTATAAAAGTATTTGTTTTAAGACTCTTCTTTTGCTTAAAAATGGTCAATTGCACCTTTTTTGTTCTAATTAGAATAAACAAAAACTGTTTCTTTACTTAAAACAAACAAAGAGTATCTGCGTACTAATTAAAACAAATAAAGAGTTTTTTTGTTCTAAAAATGAACACTGATCATTGAGCAAAAAGGATCTAGAAGTTTAAAGCAGTAGCTTTAAATTTAAGAACAAATCTTTTTCAAATTAAATCACTTTCCATTCAGATTCCAACTTGTTCACTTTGTTCTAGCTTTCTGAATTTTTTCGTAGAATGAATCGTAGAATGTTCCAATAAAATAAAAATGAGAAATCATTTGCTCAGAACATTTTCAAAAAAAGTTCAGAAAGCTAGAACAAAGTGAACAAGAAATCTGAATGGAAAGTGATTTGATTTGAAAAAGATTTTCCTCGTGCCTTAAACTTCTAGTTCCTCTTTGCTCAATGATCAGTGGTCATTTTTACAACAAAAAACTCTTTATTTGCTTTAATTAGTACGCAGGTACTCTTCATTTATTTTAAGTAAACAAACGGTTTTTGTTTATTCTAATTAGAACAAAGAAGGTGAAATTGACCATTTTTAAGCAAAAGAAGAGTCTTAAAACAATTACTTTTATAAAAATGCAATTTTAAGTAAGATTAACATGTATTTCTCCTATATGGAGCAATGCTTGAGTAGCAAACCTTAACTTCAAAAAATCATATCTTGAAAACTACTCGGTATATTCTTTTGAAAATTTGGATTACAACTAATAAAGAGATGCTCTACACGATGGTAATAATAAAAAAATACTCCTAGGGTTTTTCTTAGATTATTTCGATTTACTTCGAAAAAGTTTGCAATATTCAATTTCAAATTGCATATCATTCTAAAGGGCAGGTCCATCCCTTTAGAATGGTCTTTACTTGAAGGAAATCGGCCTAATAGTTATTGAGTAATGATTTTTTAAAGTTAAAGTATTTTAAATTCATTTAAATTAGAAAAATATTAATTAGATCAAAGTGTGTGAATGTGGACTTTTTGAAATTTTTTTTAGTGCATTTGATTTGTCTCACTGAGTCGAACAAAATGATATATAATTTGTCAAATTGTCACGACATGACTTAATTTGTCTGTGTTATGAAACTTGTTTTTTCAATTGTTTTGTAGTCAATTTGATTTGGCTAAACACCACATTTGGAGCAAAAACGTGGAAGTGACTGAGCAAATTCTCCACACTGATGAGACAGTTACCGAGCAATCGTCAAAACTATCAGCCCTGAATTTGGCCCACAACCTTTTCACCAGTATTCCTGTGGTGTTGCCTTGTTTGGCGGTCAATTTGACCCGTTTAAACATGGCTTTTAACTCATTGCGATCAATGTCACACATTACCAGCTATCCGAGTTCCTTGAAACAGCTAGATTTGAGTCACAATCAAATCACTTGTTGGCCAAGTTTGCCACAAGTCGAGGCACAGGATGTCATGGAATTGGCAAATATTGCTTGTTATGCTAGTAGTGTGGGGCCGAGGGAAAAAGTTTCGGGAATTGCCGGTGAGTTTGGTGTTGGTTGGTTTTGATAATGGTTTTGGTCAGCTCGTAGACAACCGGGCCGGTCTGTGCGAAACACGGTTTTGCATTCGGTTTGTTCGCATCGACGGCATTTGAAGTTGGATAGTTTGAGGACTCTGATTTTGGCTGATAATCAGTTAAGTCGAATTCAGTTAAGTACGGATGACGATGGGGATGTTAGTGCTGTGGAGGAGGAGGATCTAGAACGTGTAAGTGTAAGCCGATTTCTGGTTGTTACTCCAAGAGTGATATTATCGAAGTTTTTCTTTTGATTGTGCAGCGCAAAGAAATTAATACGCATTTTGAAGATGACTTTATTTGTGTATCTTTTCCCAAGGTTGAGGGGGTATGTTTTTTGAATGAGCAGAGCTTTCTGTCGAAAGCAAGTTTAGCTTAAGCTTGTTGTGTGTTTGGGTTTAGGGAGGTTCATTGATGTTCATTTTCTAGAATCCGGCTGCGGGGAAGGCACGTTTGATGTTCCCCAATTTATCAATGTTAGATGTTAGTAACAATAACTTGAAAGACATTCCTGTAAATATCAACGAACTCAGTAACTTATCCGTCCTGAATATAAGTGGGAATCTAGGCAAGTATCTATTTGACGGCCACTTGTTGGACTGATATACCACGAACAAATTATAAAATTAGCTCGGTTTATATTTTTAGACATTAATGAACTCCCACCACAAATGGGTCTACTATCGCGGTTATGGAATCTCAACACGCGCGGATGTTCTTTGCAAGATCCCTTAAAATCGATGATTGATAGTAAAAAGTACAAAACAATGGATATTGTGGGTTATTTGAAATCGGTCCTTGAAGATGCGAGACCTTATGCTCGTATGAAATTAATGATTGTGGGAGTGCAGGGAATTGGGAAAACGAGCTTGTTGGAACAGTTGAGGCAGGAGGGGATAACGAGAAAACGACCAGAGGTAAAATTGCGCATTATGATAACATGTGTCAAGAGTGCTGTGAAAATTTCATGAACTATGGACCAGTTTCATATTCGAATTAAAGAGACTTTAAAGTTAATGTTGGTTTAGAATGTGCTAATTACTACGAACTTGTTGAGAAAAATTTCACTTTTTAAACCCATTAATTCAATTATGAAACTGGTTTTACGTCTTATTGCCTAATTTGTTATGTTGTGTTCAAAAATTGGTTTTGACATTTGATGTCTCTTTATTCAGACACTCGTTATGTAGACTGTTTTTTTTTTTTATAAAGGAATGATTTTCTTCTAATATTGTTTTATGACTTTAATGAAGAGTAACGTGGCTTAAGAAATGTTATTATAACTCTTCTTTTTAAAATTGGTTTTAAAACTAAAATGTTAAAAAACAAATAAAAAGTTTGTAAAATTTAGCGTGAACTTGAAAAGTTCTAATGACAGTTTCCGTGAAAGTTTCAATGAAAATATTGAAAAGTTGCAAAGGTATAAATTTCATAAACTACCCACTATAATTAAAGTTTATGAAATTTATACCTTTGCAACTTTTCAATATTTTCATTGAAATTTTATTTCAACTTTGTCAATTCTATTAAAACATTTTGAGCCCAGATAATATTGACACTTTTTTTAATATTATTTTATACTATCTTGTTTTAAAATACAGCGTGATCATTTAGGACTGTTTAATTGGCAACAGATTTGAAAGTATTTTTGTTAATAATTTGTAACACTGCAACCGGATACCGTTTTGCTTGACAAATACTTGACGTACAATCTGTCAAGATTGTTAAATTGTTGTTAATCAGAAGCATACTTCAGTGGCATCCTTCAAAAATTCAAATCAGGATTGCCAACAAATTTTTTCGTTCTTGATCACGTTGATTTATATGAACATATTTTTTTAATAAACGTCTTTGTTTCTTTCAAGTTTATAATAAAGGTTAGAAAAAGATTCTAAATATTTGGCAAGTGCAAAAAAGCCATCAAAAATTTCATAAAACTTTTCATGAAGTATTTGGCAATTAATTTTCATGAAACTTTACAATACTAGTAACATTGGTAGAGCCTAATTTGCAGCATTTAATAATTCATTCTTAAGCATTAAAACTTAAAAAACATGATAATTAGGAACTTGAAATATCATTTTTGTTAAGAAAGACCAAGTTAGACAATGTTGTGCACATTTTCAGCATTGGGCAAAACGAATGGGCAACAAAAACATAAACGTAAAGACCTCTCGAGGCACAAACATGTCAACAGTTGGTGTAGACATAGGCGACTGGGTGTACGAGAAAAAAGTCCGTAACCAATCATCACACGGTCCTGTAATCTTCAGAACATGGGATTTCGGTGGTCAAAAAGAGTAAGTGCAAAACACCCCAATTTCACTTTTGAAACCACTTGAATCCAGATATTACGCCACCCATCAGTATTTTTTATCAAAACGAAGTTTATATTTAGTCGTTTGGCGAATCACTGACGGTCATCGAGGCATCAACGAAATTTTACAGTGGCTTGTTAACATCCAAGCAAGAGCACCAAACTCTCCTGTAATCATAGTAGGCACACATTACGATGTTGTTCAAGAATGTAATCCAAACATTTCTGAAGAGTACCAACAATTAATTCGCGACAAGTTTATCAATATTGTTGATGCGGAAAAATGCGGATTGCCGCGAGTTTTAGACACGATTGAGATTAGTTGCAGAACTAGACACAATGTCAAATTATTGTGTAATTTGATCTATGATACTGTGTTTAGTTTGCGGCCCCCAGGTGAGTCGAATCATTAAATTTGGAGTAAACAATCATGTTGTTGGTTATAGGAAGCAAAGAATTGTTGTTGGAACAAAAAGTGCCAGCTACGTATTTAGCACTGGAGGATGTTGTTAATCACATCGCGGCTGAAAGACGGGTCAATGGGCTTGATCCGGTACTAAATGCGGAACAGTACCGGACTATCGTAACCACAGAGATGCAGCAACGTTTCAATCGAGTTTTCCGGGATTGGGCGGAACTTCACCAAGCCACCTTGTTTTTACATGATAATGGTGCTCTAATCCGACTTTTATTATTGATTTTTACATATTGTAATTGTAGGTGTGTTATTACACTACGACGATGCAACATTGAAAGATTTGTATTTTTTGGACCCCCAATGGTTGTGCGATATGTTAGCACACGTTGTCACAATTCGTGAGATTAATCCGTTTGCGCGTTCCGGTGTCATGAAACTCGATGATCTCAAACACATTTTCAAAGCTAGTAGTATAGGACCTATGGATGCTCGAGGTTACATCGTAAATTTGTTAAATAAATTTGAAGTTGCACTAACTTGGGATTCTCGAACTTTATTAATTCCGTCACTGTTACCCTCAGAGGAGGATATTCTCCTGGCGCAAATGTATCCGGGACAATTTCACCCCTTAGTTAAGGTTAAAGTGCCGTTAAGGTCACGTGGATGGGCAATCAGAAATAAAAAAATAACGGTTTCACCCAAGTCAGTTTTGTATCGAGATTCCGGGAACCAAGGCAAGTTTCAAATGAGTTTGCCGTCGACTTCGTCTTCAAAAAATGGTCGGTGGTTAATTTGAAACTTATGGGTTTTTCATACGTAATTTTGTAGAAGAAATTGAAGAAGAAGCAAAGTATCAAGTAACGAGTTCATCAACTGACAAATCCATAACCCGACTTCTTCTAATGTCGTACTTCCCATCAGGGTTTTGGTCAAGACTTATTTCACGAATCTTAGCCGATGACAGTATTATTGATATTATAAGATCGTTTTTTGTTCTTCCGAAAGAGGTGGCGCAAGACCTAGAATTGGTCAAGTTGCTAGATTTGAAAGCAGAATGGGTGCTTTGGCAAACTGGTCTTCAGTTGAAATACGGCGATATAACATTGTTTCGAATGAGGGAAATCTTGCACAACTCTTCGTCCTTCTACCGACAATTAAAGTGAGTTATAATTTGGTTTTTGGTTCAGTTTGACATAAAAATTGTAGATTCCGTTTGAAACAAGACGGAGTTTGGTGTGACGTCGACCTCCAAAACTCCTCAATTCTCGAAATCCACTTCCCTGTCGACTCTTTGGTTATCAAACCAGTTGACACACTAAAGACCGATCTAGTGATCAACTGCACTCCGGAATCAACAGCACAACTTCTTGCTTTAGCTGTCGATCACGTCGATATTCTTTTAGAAGATTGGTACCCGACTCTTGGAACCCGATTTGTGCATACCTCCGAAGGCAAATTTTTGGTCACTCGGCTTGTGCCCTGTCCTCGTTGTTTGCAACAGACGAGCGATATTGATCCAAATTTTCCAAACACACCTGACGTTGGACCGAATAAAAACTTCCTAGATGCGATGAATCAAGTAGACGCCGAAGGTGATCGTTATCGGATTCGCAAGTCGCAAGAGTCGTATACTTCAGAGTGTGATAGTGGTGTTGGGCCGGATTCGACCGGTTCGAGTCGTATGCCGTCAATGGAAGGCCATCCAGGAGTCCAAACCGAAGATGTTAACGCTAATAATCAACTGTACTACTCTTGGATGGTCGAGGAGTGTATTTTGGCGTCGTATGGAACGAAATGTGTGGTGTGTCCCACTCATGGTGACGTTTCTTTAGCTAGGATAGCCCCTGATACTGTAAAAACAAAAAATTTATATTCTGAGACAGTTTTGAAGTTTTATTTGTAGATTTTTTTGGATTTGGGCGAACGTTATATCATCCGATCCGAGAACGTTAAACGTGGCCGATTATTAGGCCGTGGTGCTTTTGGTTTTGTTTTCAAGGGCACTTGCAAGGTTCGCGGTAGCAATACTATGATCGATGTTGCAATGAAAATGTTGCAACCTGTACCACCTGGCCCCAATGCTCGTCAATCGGCGATTGTGGCCTACAAGGCCGCTCAAGGCAAATGGGACCGCGATCCCCTTCAATACGCTTGCAAAGCCTACTGTACTGCTCGACAAGAACTTAACATTTTGTTGTCTTTGAGACACCCAAATATCGTCCCGTTTGTGGGTGTTTGTACCAGTCCGTTGGCTATAGTTCTCGATCTTGCACCTCAAGGTGCTTTGGATCTGGTTTTGAGACATTATAGAAGGTCAGGGGCGAAAGTGGGGCCTTACACCTTACAAGCAATCATACTACAAGTGAGTAACAAATAATGAAATATTTTTGATTGGCTAGTGTTATAGGTTGCCAAAGCAATCGAGTATTTGCACCGCCAACACATCATTTATCGTGACTTAAAATCGGAAAATGTGTTAGTTTGGGAAATGCCACCCCCGTTTGTCGACCACCCCGACCATCCTGTTCACATCAAAGTGGCAGATTATGGCATAAGTCGGCTTACTTTACCTTCAGGTGCTAAAGGTTTTGGTGGTACTGAAGGGTTCATGGCACCTGAGATTATGCGGTATAACGGAGAGGAGGAATATACCGAAAAAGTTGATTGTTTTTCTTTCGGAATGTTTATTTATGAGTTGTTGACGTTACATCAACCGTTTGAGGGGCACGAGTCGGTCAAGGAATGTATTTTAGAAGGCGGTAGACCGCCATTGACTTACAGGGTACTGTTTTTGCGGAAAGTTGGTGCACCAATTATAACAAACATTTCAGGAGACTTTATATCCTAGTTACTTTTTGGATTTAATGGTTTTATGTTGGTCACAGCAACCGAAAGATAGGCCATCGGCCAGTCAAATTGTTTCAATAGCTAGTGCTCCCGAATTCACCCACTTGAGTGATGTGACGTCGCTGAAGCATGAATCGTCGGTTGTGGCAACAGCCAGTGCAGCAGTAACTCATATAACAGGTAAAAAACAACTTTTTTTTATATCCTTTAATGGAAAACAGCCATCTGATTCGGTAGAATTCAAAAAGGAAATGTTTTATTTTATTAATTACCAACAATTGACTCGTTAGCAACACAACCATAGTCAGAAATAAGTATGGCATTTAACATGCGTTAATTTTATTTATTAAAATATTGTTAGGTTTTCCACGTTTTCCTTAAGGATACAAAAAATATTGCATGTTCAACTCGTAAGAAAAGTGGTTAACAATGTCGTGAAAGCTTAATTTATTCGCTAATACTCCTAAGTAAATCAATCTGTTTTCACTCAACCACCACTTTTCTTGACTTGTTAAGCAATCTACTATTTTTTCTCTTATATCGAGTGATTCAAAAATGTGTCATTCAAGGTCCAAGGTAACGGTCATGTAACGGTACGCTCAAAATTCATAAATTCTGATTTTGGAGCGCAGTGTAGAGTTTAGTTTAAACCCAAATAACTCGAGAACGCTACATCGATATGAAACAAGAGTACTTTTCTAGGAAAAAATGATTGAGCTTTCAATTTTTGGTATCGAAAATAAGGGTTAATGGGCCGAAAGAAAAGTTATGACCCAAAAACTGAAAGGGAAATGTATAGCTTTTACAAGACTTCCATTTACATCATATCCAAGAGTGTTTTTTTGTCTCTTAACGTGCAAAGTTTCGTAATAATCGGATAAACTATAACAAAAATATTTCCAAAATATCATTTTTTCATATCGATTTTTGGAAAACCAATTTTTCTCTTTTTTGAAATGGGTCAATAAATGCCATTATCGTTCTTCAAAAATTTTCACGGGCGAGGCTTCAGCTTCACTAACCTCGTCCTTTTACTTTTTTACAGAGGAATAATGTTTAAATCCTATTCCTTCTGTATATTTTTCCATTTGTGATAATCAGGAAAAATTTTTAACAGTGAACATTTAAATTTTTTAATCTTGTAAATTTTTTATTTTTTATTTTAAAGTGTAACAATTTTCAATGGCTGATATGGCGCGAGGGTGCCGAAACATGTCCCAACTTCACTAAATAAAATTTATCGATTTGTGGAGTTGACTTTAATAATACTTACTGTGTAAAACTATAAAACATCCACTTTGTGAAGAAAATGGATCGAGTTCTACAATTAATAAATACTATCTATTCTCATTTATTTTGAATACTGATAACAGCTCAACATCTCTTTTCTTGTACAAACTCATTTAAATATAAAAAAATACTAAACATTTATTAACAAAGTTGGCAGAATTTTCTGTGAAATATCAGATAGACGTTAAGTATTGAGGTGTTATCAGTATTGATGAAATTACATCAAGTAAAAATTCATTATACCGTGTGACTGTTACTGATTGTGATTTTTATTTTAAAGTTGGTGTAAAATTAAAATCTTAGTTTGGCAAGCTTGACTCTCAAATACAAATGTAAAGCTTTTATAAGCAGTTGTCAATAATTTGCGATGGGCGACCGCTGGTTTAGCTGTCACCTGATCCACATCCTGATACAATAAATTAGGATTAGCAATAATTCAATGCTGCCAATAGATTTATTTATAGTCACCCGGTATTTACGAACATGTTTTCAATAGTTGAATAAGTTTTTTTTTTACCTAGATGATGGTTTATCCGGTTCTGAAATGTGGCTAATGTGTTCGAATTCTCGAATCGATTTGTTATTGGCGGCAGATCGTGGGTGGCTGCAGTACCACACCATGGCCTTACCGATTAGGGCCACGGCTTCATGTACTGTTGCAAATGCTGTTTGGATTGGCGACTACTCTGGCAATCTTCACGCTTATTCGTATAAAACCGATATTTTATAAAATATTATATCTAAATTGCTGTTTTAGGGCTAGTGACGGCTACCGACTCTTCTCCTACGCACTTGAAACCGAGCCAAACACACAAGTCGAAGCATTGTTGTACCTTCCGCCTTTGAAAAGGGTCGCTTGTGCCCTATCAAATGGCCGTCTGTTTTTAGTTAACTCCGAAGCAGTGCCTACGACACCGACAGCAGCTGAGGGCACTTTTGTGATGACAGAGCTTGGTTCCAATTCGATTATCAACTGTTTGTGTGCGATTTTTAAAGACAATGGAGCGTACGTATGGACCAATTATTAAATACATATTTTCTCAAATTTTCTTATCTAGGGTTTGTGAATTGTGGTGTGGCGAATCGAACGGTCAAATATCGATTTATATAATTAAAGATCACGTGGTTGCCGGTCATGAAACTATGAACCACTACCAACCTATTATAGAACAAGTGAATGTTATGAATTTGATAGCTGCTGATAACCATGTCTGGTCTTATGTACGACCTGGATGTATTATTTATCAGTGGGACCAAAAAAATCGGACCATCATTAATAAACTTGATTGTTCGAAACTGGTGCCGTGTTCTGAAAGCCTTAAAAGTATTGCGATTGAAGAGCATTTAAGTCCCACGAATTGTCAAGTGAGTTTTTTGCGTAGAGTGCGACCATAATTGTGGATTGAAATGAATTGCAGGTTACTAGTTTGGCTGTGCTGAATGAAGAATTGTATATAGGAACAACCTGGGGTTGTGTTATAATCGCCGAGCGTGCTACACTAAGGCCAATCACGATATTTCGGCCTTATGAGGAAGAAGTCAAAGCGATAGTTCCGTTAGCAATGTGTAAAAGTATTAACGAGAGTCATGATAATACGCCGTTGATTGCCACCATTGGTCGAGGGTACAGAAATCTATTGTCTCGATATACAGACGTTCCAATCAGCACTGGACATTCTTTACAGAGTCCAATGTCGAATGCTCCAGTGTTGGCCAATAAGCAAAATATGTTTGTTTTGTTGTGGAGAGCTGAACATTGGAACGCTGTCTGAGTGTCTGTGCATTTTTCATTCCATGGATCTTAAGTGATAATCTAAGTAATACATAATTTGCAATTGTCTTTTTGCGTATGTGATTTTTATTATTATTTTGTATTTTTATTTATATTTTAAGCTGTGATTCTCTCAGTCATTTTAACTTGTTACAAACCTTTTATTGAATAAAATGTTAAGATGTTTTCAAGACTTTTTTTACCTTTCCGTGAAACAACAAAAATCTGCTAATTTATTTTTTACTTAACTCTAATCAATATTTATTTAAAATTGCTGTTGACAGTCAAGGTCAAGTTTCTATATTTAATTACTAATTAAACTGTCAGCAATAATTGGGGACTTACACCAAAGAAAGAAATCAACTAAAAATACAAAAAAACGGATGTTTAGTATTTACTATTAATGAAACAATTGGTGAAATGCATTCAGAGTATGGATCAGTTATCAGTTTTTGGAATTGTTTGTTTTCATTAAAAACTTGCATAAAGTCATAAATGAATATTTCGCATGAAGAGCTTTTCATTTTACGACGCTTTGGTAGTAATCATATTAAACCAATAAACGAATGGTAACAAGCGGTATGATAGCACAAAACGTCAAAGCGCATATTAAATAATAAAATCATACGAGTAATTAAATTAGGGTAGCTTTTGTAGTTGTTATTCAATGCAGCGCAAAATATAAGCGCTATTCGACTCGTTCGCAAAGTTATCAAAGGGGTGGTGAGTCGCTGTTGACTGGGGTCACACACCCCACATAACACGATCATCTTTTGTCGCTACGAAATGTATTCCTATCTATTATTCATGTCTATGATTGTGGTTGTTCATTTGACGCACCAATAAGCCATACCATATGTCATAAACTTGACTAATTATCTTTAACAAGAAGTTTAATTGCGATCGAAATGAGCATAACGCCGGTATTTAAATAGGGAGCGGGTGTAATCGAGCTCAATAGCAATTTTTGATAAGTGGACACGTGACGTCATAAGTTTTAATTTGTCAAAGGGATTACCGTATGTAAATGAACCTTTTTTCCCACTCAGAATGAGATAGCTTTTTAATAAGTATGTAATGTAGGTACAATAAAAAAATAAACAACAATCGCTAAAATAGCAGTCTAAAAAACGTTAGAGACGTATGAAAATAGTTGAATTTTTGTTTCAAGCACCTAAAATAAAGTTTTTGCTGTTTTCGAACAAGGCGAAGCCGAGTCTGAAATAGCAGCTGAGCCCACAAAAACTTTATTGGCACGTGTAAACACATTTTTGTTAAAGCTCAAATATTCAAACGTATTATTATTTTTGGAAAATAGTAGGTACCAGAAATAACTATTTTACGAAATACATATTTCATTCAGTCGCTAAAAACCTCATTTTAGGGACTAAAATGAGTCCGTGAAAAATCTATTTTTGGGAGCGTCTCTAAAAATTATTATGTTAATTCAAAATTAATGATGAAAAAAATGCAGTAAATCCAAACAAATATTTTTTTGATTAAACATTAATTTCTAACATAATCTTAGTTTTGAAGAATTTAGTAGGTATGAAACTAATTTTTTGTAAAGTGCCTTTTATGTAGCAAATACGACATTAAATATTAAGAAAATTGGTTTAGAATAAACATTTAGGCCCCAATATCAAATTTCAAAATCATTGGCCAACTATGAGTTTTAAATTTTTTTCCAAAATAATTGCTTTTTATTAACATTTGCGAAATAATATTAAACAAAAAAAAATGAAAATCAAAGTTGGCCGATGATTTTGTAATTTGGTATACAGGCCCAGATGTTGATTCTAAACAACTTTTCTTAACAACTTCTTGTCCTATTTGCTACATAAAAGGCAAAAATGAAAAGATAAGGAACAACGCAATAAATTAATGTAATAACGGCTGTAGTGATAAATTTATTATAAAAGAGAAAACCTATCTAGGTGAGTCCAAATTATTTAATTTATTTTTTCCATTTTTGGTTTTGTCGGTGTTTTCCGTTTTCAAAAAAAAAACGTGTGGCGCACAATTATATTTTTTTTATAATTTTCTAAAATAGAACAAACCCACTCCCCGTAAGCCGTTAAGAAAAAAAAAGATAGGTCTTGTTAAAAAGTTAATATCTCAACCAAGCAGGAATGAACCTCAAAAAATGAAAATTTAAATCGAGATTTTTTTATCTTTTACAAGAGTCGCTTCACCTATCCGGGGACACACTGTATATTTTATTTACCATCACTTCAGAAATATCGGGAAATATGTCATTGCATCTCTTGGTCGAGAAGTAATTTATTTATGTACTACGTCAATATAAACAAAATAGTATGCAAAGCTCGAATGGAATTCGAGTTTGTTTCCCTCCCGGTAATGGGTAATGACTTATTTCTCACCGGGGTTGTAATATGCTATTACTATTTTTGATTGATATATGAAATCAACAAAATTCGAGATTGTTTCCCTCCCGGTAATGAGTAATGACTTATTTCTCACCGGAGTTGTAATATGCTATTACTATTTTTGATTGATATATGAAATCAACAAAACCGTAACCTCATTATATTCCTGTCTATCCTACATAATATGTATGTTTTACAATTTTGGTGTTGTATCATAAATAAACAAACACAATATAAATATTATTACATACTTGACCTATATACCGTGCCTAGACTACAAAACACGAGACAAACAAATTTGCAATACTTTTGGAAAATCACTGCACCAATCACTCACATACAGATTAAATTTTTAATCATTTTTTTCATGATCATGTATGATAATTTAGTACATTACTTAGTTTGTTAAAATTGCAAATTATATGTGTAAGGGTGGGATTCAATAAGTGTTTCTTGAAATTATGGTCACTATTTACTGTTGTATCTAGCCCACCAATTTCTCTTTTGTCTCCTTCACTTTCTACGAATCTCTTTAATTAGTTTCGAATTTGCACCTGGCCACAGGGAAACCATTAATGCGCCGAACTAATTAATCAGGCTCTTGTGTACCGTCACGGGTGATTAATTATTATTGGCCACGTGAACCAATAGATATAGGCCTGTCGTCGGCCGATACTTTCAATCTTTTCGGCGCGTACCTATAGACAGAGTTCATCCATTGCAGTCGATGATTCCGTTCTGGCCTCTCTCTGTCTTCCTTCGACCGTTTTCCAGGACGCTTTCGTTGAACGTAGAACCATAGCCGAACCCGTGGAATGCGAGGTATTTCAATTAATCCGCGAATCAAAAGAGACGAGCGTCGCTTTATGCCGCCGCTGCGGGGCCGACCCGGTGAGGGTGCGTCAGCTAATATCCCCAGCCCCGATTATCCTCGCATACACTAACTATTTTCAGCAAGCGGACCTGAACTCGCACCGATTTACAGGAAAGTCGCCTTATGAGAGAACAAGGCGCTAATTTGCCCTTGCTTCATGCCTCATTAGCTGCACTGATACGGATTTAACATTTAGATACACAAAAATTACAAAAAATATAAATATAAAAAATACTTACCAATACAAATTGTAGATGTTATTGACGATTAGGCATTATTTGTACAAAAATATAATGAAAAAAAAGGTAAATCTTTGTAAAAGGTTTCAGCTCATTGTTTCCTACCGTGTTTTAAATGTTTTTTATTTTTTAGTTAGTCACCATAGGGAGAATTGCTCAATTAGTAATTACATAGTAGTTTTCCGAATGGTTAACTTATAAAATGTCTTGAAAAAAAAAACAAATACGTTTCACTTTTTTTAGTCCTACTTCAGGTTCTATTAACAAGTCGTATGCTAAAGTTAAGTAAAAAACAGTTTAACTGAGATCACTCCACATCAGTAAGATCTACAAATGTAGGCATGACAAATACATACAGAGTGAATATAAAGTATGGAACCAAGCGGTTTTATTTTTAATCATTTGCCCCCAGAAATTAATAATTAATATAAATTAAAGTAATATAAAAAATGTGATCGTATTTTCAGAACGAAATTTTGTTTTGTTTTTGAGTTATGCGATTTTTTTTGTCAAAATTGCAATATATGTGAAAAAAAATTTTTGAAAAAATTAAATATAAAGCAGATAGTTGTAATCCTTAGAGTATAGCTTTTATGAAAAAAATGATTTTATAGTGGGTTGCCATTTAAAAAAATATTTTTTTTTTTGTAGAACTCAAAAACAAAAGAAAATTTCGAAAAATTTTATTCTTGTTAAATCATCGCATTTTTATAGTACTTTATCACTCATCAATTAGTTTTTTCAAAAAAAATAGTTTAAGCAAAAAACGTTTGGTTCCATACTTTTTATTCACCTGGTATGTCTTGCATGTGAAAAACTGAAGAATTAAAAAATATATTTCTCTTATTTTAGTAGTCCTGAAAATTTACAACACTCAGAATTTCCCAATTAACTTTACTAACTGAACAATCCCTTCACTAGCTCTTGAATTGTTATTCTTTATATGAAACATGAAGAATTATGTAAAAATGAAATTTATCGTAAATGTTGAGAAAACCGAAGAGTAATGTTGGAGAAAGAAAAGAATAGTATTTAAAACCTTAATTAACCGAGTTATAAGATAACAATGAAACAATTGAAAACAAAGTAATGTAGGTTCTTAGAAGGTACAAATAAAATAAAACAGTAGAGTTAAAAAATACAAAAAAAGATTCGAAGTAAATGACAAAAAAAAAATAAAAACTTACTCGTAACTAAAAAATAGTCATTTATTATACAAGACGAAGTCACGAGTGGATTTTCTTCACGAATAGTAAACTACGCTCGGTAAATAATACATTCGACGTAACCAATTTATCAATACGTTAGACGTTTGATATTTACGTAATTATAGGTGTGCTAATCATAAGTCACACCCGTGACTTATTAGAAGTCACAAGTGACTTATCATAAATCACAGATCTGTCAATATTGTGTGCATATTGTGATGCTGGTTAGCAACGTTACACTCGTGACTTATCAATGTTAACTGATCTGTCATTATAATAAGTATACCTACATTTTGTAAGTAGAAGGTGTTTTATTAAAAAAGATCATAGATAAAACGTCGTATTTGACTCACACATATCTATAATTCACTCGGATAATTTATACACTCGCTGTTAGTTCTTCATTCTTTTGAATTATAGCCATCTTATGTGCTCGTTAAATAATATACTAATTATCGTCGTGTATAATATTTTA